GGAACCACTCTGTGAGGGCAAACTCCCAATACCTAAAGACTCGCACTGGCCCACCTTCTAGTCATCACATTTAGATCAAGTCTCCACCCTTAATCCATTAACCATTAGCATTAAGATAGCAGAACTTAAACAGCTGCATGAATTTTGGGGCGACAAGTTCTACTATCCGCATAGCAATACTCTAATTGAAAAGGACTGACAATTCCGTAACTGTGCTCTAATTTAAAGAACTGACAGTTCACAGCAGAATCAACAACCAACACTACAGACATCTCAGTTGGCTCTGCCTACACAATTCTAACTGAAAAGTTAAATAAACTTTCTGCTTGATAAGTGCCACAACCATTGTGTTCCAATTAGCTATGGACAAGAGAATAGCTTTCAATGGAAATTTTTAAACAAGTGGGAGATGATGTAAGATCCTGAGGCATTTCTTTGAAGAATTGTAATAGGAGATAAAACAGGGTGTTACTTGCAGGATACTAAAGATAAAATATAATCAAAGCAATGGCTACCAAGAGGTAGAATTGGGGCAAAGCAAAAGCAGACCAGATAAGAGCATAAGTCTTGACAACAGTTTGGGCTAGTCAAAGCATTACACCTGTTGACTTTCTGGAGCCCCAAAGAACTGTAACATCTGTTTTTCAGGAGGTTGCTTTAGGAAGGTCAAAGTCTCGGCCAAAAAAGTACCTGGGAAAACTTCTTTCTCCACCACAATGTTTCTGCTCATTCCTCTCATCAAGCAAGGACAATTTTCTGAGAATTTTGATGAAAAATCACTAGGCATTTCCTTACAGATCTGACTTACCTCCTTATGACTTTCATTTCCTAAACTTTAAAAAGAATCTTTCAGTGATACCACTTTTTCTTCAGTTAATCTTGTAAAAATAACTCCATCAACATGGTTAAATTCCCAGGATCCTTCATTCTTTATGGATGGTCTAAATGCCTGGTATCATCATTTACAAAGGTGTCTTAAACTTGGAGATTATGTTGAGAAGTAAAATTCCAGGTGGACGTTGTGACGCAGTGGTTTAAGCTGCTGCTTAGGATGCCCACATCCCATATCAAAGTGCCGGTTTGAGTCAAAGTTAGCCTCCTGGAGCAAAGGCTCTGTTGGATATGGAAATACACTGCTCAATTTTCCCTTCAAAACACTTGCTGCCCAGTTTTAGCCAATGTGGATGCCAGACAGCCTGCAGCTCTCAGCTCCTTCAAGGTTTGCTCAGCTGCAGAGGGTAAGGACAGTCTGTGTTTAATGAGTGAATGAAGTATATGTAAAATGACGCTGGGGTCCGCGCTGTGGCATAGCTGGTAAAGCCAAGGCCTCATCCCAAATGGGCATTGGTTTGAGTCCCAGCTGCTCCACTTCTGATCCAGCTCTCTGCTATGGCCTGGGAAAGCAGTGGAGCCCACGTGGGAGACCCGGAGGAAGCTCCTGGTGCAGCTCCGGTGGTTGTGGCCACCTGGGGAGTGAACCGACAGATTAAAGACCTCTTTCTCTCTCTGCCTCTGCTCTCTGTAACTCTGCCTTTCAAATAAAAATAAATCTTAAAAAAAAAAAAAAAAAAAACCAAGCCATCTCAGCCACACAGCAGACATTGCAGACGGACAATGTGCACACCAGAGCTTCTTACACAGTAGACGTAGGCTTCATGGAGCCTCCATCACAGTTCAACTTCTTCCTCTGCTCAGCCCTCCTTCTCCCTTTCTCTCACAGGTATCAATTCCCAGGAAAACATTTTGCTCCTCAAACTCCAGCTCGGCAGTTACTACCAGAAGACCCTACCCACACCAAGACCCCAGTCATCCCTGGTGAAGTCTCATACCGGCCCCAACTTAAAATCAGCCCGCGAGGATGGGCGTTTGCTCCTAGTGGTTGAGATGCTCACATCCCAATATCAGAGCTTCAGGATTCAATTCTTGGCTCTGGCTTTAGCTCCTGACTCCAGCTTCCTGCTTGTCCAGACCTTGGGTATGAGGGAGCTCTGGATTGAGTTCCCAGCTGCTGTTTTTGACTATGGCCCAGCCTTGAATGTTGCAGTCATTTGGGAAGTAAACCAGCAGATGTTTGTTTCTGGCTGTCAAATAGATACATGCAAAAAATTAAAAAAAAAAAAATAGTCAACTCAGACAACACCCAGAGAATAGTAAATTTTGTTGTTTTGCAAAACTGAGTTTCAAAGTGCCAAATTATGCTAGAAGAGCTGGCTAGATCAACCAGCATGTTCAAAAGATAAATAAGAGCGAGATCTATTCCATAGTTCATTGGTGCTTTAACATTAGAAAAATCTATGCCATTCTGTACAGTTAACACTTTGAAAATGGGAAAAACATGCTACTATTGCAACAGATGGATAAACTAATAGACAAAAATAATCTTTCCTGGGATCAGCACTGTGGCACAGAAGGTTAAGCCTCCGTCTGCAGTATCAGCATCCCATATGGGTGCCAGTTCGGGTCCCAGCTGCTCCACTTTTGATCCAGCTCCTTGCTCATGCACCTGGGAAAGCAGAAGACAGGCCAAGTGCTTGGGCCCCTGCACCAGTGTAGGAGACTCAGAAGAAGCTCCTGGCTCCTGGCTTTGGTCTGGCCCAGCCTTGGTCGTTGAAGCCATTTGGGGAGTGAATCAGTGGATGGAAGATCTCTCCCTCTCTCACTGTAACTCTTTCAAATATATAAATTCTTTTTAAAAAACACTTAAAATTTAAAAAGTCAAAAGCAAATAATACCAGCACACATGCAAGAATGTCTCCCTGGTTGATATTTTTCTGGTAGAACACTCCTTAAGTTTTACTACCCAGAAGGCATTGAAAGTATTTGTGTTTTAACCGATGCTCATGTAGAAAAAATTTTTAAATTAGTAAAATGTAATTTAAATTTAATTATGTATAGGAGAGACCTTGTATTTCACTCCCATACAATTGGGGAAACATCAGGGCCCTGTGAACACTGTGAAAGACTCTGATCGTCCAGCAAGGGTTGTATCTCAGTGCTGTGCTGAGAACCAGCTACTGCATTGAGCAACAATTGTCTTCATTGCTTAGCAATCAAGAAGTGAGATTTCAAACATTTTCATTTTAACTTGCCAATTTGCCTCTTATCTAAGGACATATTACTGGTCTGGGAGCATGTACTACACTGTGATTTTTCCACTTAGCAAAATGCTAAATAGGTTTCTGGCTAACTTGTTTTGTTATTGTTGCGCTGCATGTAAGAGGGCCAGGTTAAGCAAACAGAGCACAGCCCAAACCGAGGGATGTTACTTCTAAGATTAGGTTACAAAAATAGTGTGGCTTCCATCCTGGGCACGCTCTCTGGCTTATTGGCTTGCTCACCCTGAACGAAGCCAGCTCCATAACTTATGGAGAGGGTTGTGAGGCAAGCAGCAGAGGATGTGAATTCAAAGACAGTTAAAGAAATTTATTGCAGCGTTGTTTGTAACAGCAAAGGACAGGAAGCCATCTTAATTCTTTTTGTTGTTTTTTCTTTATTAAGTAACAAAAATGACAAAATCCACATTACATGATAATCTCCAATCTGTGTTTTCCATAAGGCTATGTGCATGCAGGGACCAGACATGACATGCACATGCTTTTTATGCACAGGTGGACACAAAGAGTGGACACAAAAAGAAACTAACAGTGGTAGCCTCTGACGGAAACCAGGCCGGGAGATACTTCTCTCTTTACAGTCTTAAATTCTTTTCACAGTATGATTATATTGGTTTTAATTTTAAAAAATAGCTATCTTAAATGTCTGCAATAACCAATTAGAATGTGATAAAACAACATAAACATTCACAACAGAGTCAATAACAGAAATGAAATGTAGGATAAAACTAGAGAAAACTCATCAAGGCATACAGAAAATTTAAATAAAAAGAAACACCAAGACGTTAAAGTGAATACTTTAAATACTGTGATAGAGATAATGCTTAATTAATTGGTAAAAATATGAAGAAAATCCTTCTGGTTGGATTTTTTTTTTAATTTTTTTTTTAATTTTTTTTTGACAGGCAGAATGGACAGTAAGAGAGAGAGACAGAGAGAAAGGTCTTCCTTTGCCGTTGGTTCACCCTCCAATGGCCGCCGCGGCCAGCACACTGCGGCCAGCGCACCGCGCTGATCCGAAGGTGGGAGCCAGGTGCTTCTCCTGGTCTCCCATGGGGTGCAGGGCCCAAGCACTTGGGCCATCCTCCACTGCACTCCCGGGCCACAGCAGAGAGCTAGCCTGGAAGAGGGGCAACCGGGACAGAATCCGGCGCCCCGACCGGGACTAGAACCCGGTGTGCCGGTGCTGCAAGGCGGAGGATTAGCCTAGTGAGCTGCGGTGCCGGCTCCATCTGGTTGGAGTTTGTATAATAGAATTTGCATAAGGTGAGACATCTGTGAAAGGATGAAAAAAAGGTAGAGGTGGACACGACCCTCCTGTTTCGCATGATGTGGACACAGGTAGTGTGAACTACATCTACAGTCTTTTCCCTTTACATTTCATATTAGAATTCATTAGTAGTAACACTGATGAGATTTTTTTTTCTAGACAACTGTGAAGAGGTATGGGCATCTGGCACAGCTGTTGCCATCTGAGATGCCCATGACCTGAGTTTCTGCTTCATTTCCTGGGAGGCAGAAGATGATGGCTCAAGTTCTTGGGACTCTGCCACATATGTGAGATCGAGATTGAAGCTCCGAGCTTCAACCTGGCCTACTGCTGTCTGTTGTGGACATTTGAGAAGTAAACCAGTGGATGGGAGATGTCTCAGTCTCTGCCTTTCAGACAAAAATACATACATTATTTTCTAAAAAGATGGGAGATCTCATTTTATCAAGGATGCTGATTGTATAAACATTTCAAGCTCACATTAATATCTTAAACATATCATGTCCAAAACTAAATTAGTTCTCTTTCCAACCAAATCTTACCATATGGTCCACAAATCACGCTCCTCACTACCAAAAGGAATTAAAAACATATGCCCATACAAAAACCTGCACACAAATGTTTAAGCAGCTTTATTCACAACTGACAAAACCTGTAAGCAATCCAGATGTCTTTCAGTATGTGAATGGAAATACATATTTATATATATTGTGGAACATACAAACAATGCAACACACATCAGTACTAAAAAGAAATGAGCTATAAAGCCATGAAAAAGATCTAGAGGAACCTTAAAAGGCTACATACTGTTTCATTTCACATATATGGCATTCTGAAAAAGATAAACTATGGAGACAGTAAAAACATCAGTGATTGCCAGGGGTTGGGAGGAGAATGGGATGAATAGGCAGAGAACAGAGGATTTTCAGGGCAGTGAAACTATTTTGTATGGTATTACGATAGACTGATGTCATTGCATATTTGTTAAAACCATAGAATATACAATACCAAGGGTGAAGCTTAAAATAAACTATAGACTTTGGGTGATAATGACATATTAACATAGGGTCATGGATTATGACAAGTATGCCATTACAGTGTGGGACACTGACCTTGGGAATGCTCATAGTCAAACAGATTGTACGTGGGTGGGGCATGGGATACATGAGAATTGAGCTCTTTATACTTTTTGCTTAATTTTGTGATAAATCTAAAGCTGCTCTAAAAAATAAAGTCAATTAAAATTTTTTTTTAAATTGGGAAAATACTATATGATGATACAAGTTGAGTTTTCTATCTGAAATGCTTGGGACTAGAAATGTTTTGGATTTTTTGAATGTTGGACTATATTCATATATCCATATATACAAGTAAGATATTTTAGGGATAGGATCTAAGCCTAAATACAAAGTCAATCTATGTTTCATATACACCTTATACACATAGCCTTAAGATAATTTTTATACAATGTTTCCAGTGTGCACACCACCTGTAGCCTTAGGTCAGCATTCAAAATGTTTTAGACTTTGGAGCATTTTGCTTGTCAGATTTTTGGATGAGGGATGCTTTCCCCACAATTTCAACTAAGCTACTAGATTCAGCCAACTGTCTCTGAGGCCAAGTTTGTAATTACCCATTTCCAGGCAAGGTACACACTGAGGGCATGGCATACAATTTATACCACAGAATACAGTATGGTCCTCTAAGCACAGAAAACAATGGAGAGTACAAAGAATCAAAGGGGGAAATGAGAGAACCAAGTACAGATGCACAAGTATTGACTGCACCAGTGCTGTAAGTACTTAGAAATTATAAGAACTCAAATCTTTTGGGATTTTTTTCCTCCAAAGTTCATTTACCAAGATCCACTCCCATGTCTTCTCTTAATCCAATTTTTATTAATAAAGAATTGTGTTGCCATGCCAACAATATGTATGCCTGAAGAAAAATAATTTTACAACTTTGAAATTTAGTGTCATTTATGCTGCAAAAATTTATTTACATAGTTCTTCAGAGTATATTTCAGTTGACCACCCACTATTCCAAGTGTGAAATACTGTCAAATATATTAGATTTACAGGAAAGCATTACAACAAGAAACAATTCTACAATTTAATATATACAGTGGTAGTTATTTTTACAGTTTTCTTTTGAGGATAACCTACTGAAGTTTTCCACTGGTGACACTTCAGAGTGAAGTTGTTTTCAAGAGCAGATTTCCACAGATAATCAAGAGAATAACAGTCTGGTACCTTCTATAGTGTTATGTGACAGTTAGCATATCATCTTTTTTCTAATTTCTTTCAGAAGCGTTGGATGATGAAGAATCATGACTTTCACCACAACTATAGTGCTCGTATAAAGTCTGAAATTAAAAACACAAATTTGTTTTGTCATTTTTCAAACTCAATATATTTTCAGATTAGTAAATATTTTCTCATTCTCATCATCAGGAAATTATCCCATAAACCATCCTCTGATGAAGGAATTTTAAATGTACAGCTTGGCTTAAAGAAGTGCTATGTAATAATCTTTCTGTGAGAGAGATATAGATATTAATAAATGTACATATGAACCTTCAAGGCCTCCTTTATCTTCCCCCTTACTTTTGCTTAAACATAGGTAGCTGTAGGTAAATTCCTATACTTAAAATATACTCATTTGAAAATTTAGTATGTTCGTGTTCCAATAATACTTAAACTAACGAACAGAAGACACAAAAGCTATTATACAAATAAGTACAGTTGAGTATAATCTTCCCTTGTATCCACAGAGGATTGGTTCTAGGAACTCCCACATATACCATCATTCACAAACACTCAACATAAGAGTATTTGTATATAACCTACATACATCTTCCCATCCACTTTAAATCATGTATAGATTACTTCCAATATTTAATACAATTTAAATTGTTGTTATAGTGTATCATTTAGAGAATGACAGTAGAAAAAAGTCTGTACATGTTTGGAACACTTGCTTTTTTTTTTAATCTGCAATTGGCTGAATCCCCATGATTTATGAAGTTGACGGATATCTTTGCTCTGAAGAAAAATAACCTCAGTAATAAATTTAACTAATCCACCTCAACTTTATTCACAAAAGGCTTTGAGTAATACATTGGTAGGGATTTAAAACATGGAAATATGAAATACAGAAGAATTACAAAATGGATTTTGTCCAATTTTACTACTAAAAAGTTACTAATTTAGCCAACAGCACTGGGGAAAACTTAAGAGAATTTGTCTAATATCATACAAATGCAAATAAAATAGTGAATATGTAATAAATTCCTTCAGAAATGTGTTCAAGTTCTTAGCTACTTAGATTGACTTACTCCTACTTAGAGAACTAAGAATATTGTTAGTTTAAGCTCCTAAAATTTTATAACAGAAATACATAAATACATATTTGGTCAATAAACACTCATGGGGTTCTAGAAATGAATGTGTTTGATGACAATGAGGTCTAAAAATCATGGTATAGGTATAAACAGGATTGGGAGGCTGAAAAACTTGAGAAATGTACTGATTGCTCTTTGCAGCTTCACAGAAGCCACAACATATGACAGACACTGTGATTTCTCTAACAAGGCTTAAGAAAAATATTACCTAGGTGGCCAGCATTGTAGCACAAAGAATTAATAAGCTGCTGCTTCTGATACCAGCATTCCATATCAGAGCACTGGATCCAGCTCCAGCTGCTCCACTTCTGATCCAGCTCCCTACTAATGCACCTGGGAAAGCAGCAGCAGATGGCCCAAGTACTTGGGCCCCCACCACTCACGTGGGTGACCCACATGGCATTCTGGTCTCCCAGGTTTGGCTGGGGCCAGTCCTAGCCATTTGGGAATAAACGAGCAGATAGAAGATTTGTCCCTCCCTCTTTCTATTGTTCTTTCAAATACATACCTACATACATATATACATACTTTTTAAAAATGGGGCAGAAGGAATTTAATCCTTTGTTAAGGATGGTGCTTAGCTAACAGATTCCTACATTAAATATATTCCAATTGAGACCTGACAGTAATCTTCCAAATGTACCACATATGACAAACCATTCTGAACTGTGCTGTATGCACAACACTATAAACCAAATAAATCTCTATTTGTCAAAAAACATGTGAAGTATCTAAATGTAGAAACATCCTTCATAACTAACTAATTTTGATGACTGAACCAACACTTTGGATTATCTGCTTCTTTAAGTGTTGAACTCACAGAACTACTTAAAACAGTTAAGAGCAATGTAGACAAAGAATGGAAATGCTTACTTTAGCAGCTTTCAAAATGGAGTTAGGAGAATTCAGACCAACAAGTTGGCCCAGAATATTTTTCATTTCATCAGATGTTCCCTTAGCAATTTGGTTACCTACAAAATAAATACAGCCAATAATTCACTAGAGCCAAGAAGAAAAACATAGTCCATTATAAAAACATATTCCGTTTAACAGCACAAAAACTGATTCTTATCATTTATCACTGATCATAGCCTTTTATCACAGGATAAATGAAAAATGTATGCCGGCTGGTAAAAAAAAGGCAGTTTTAGTTACTTTAATAAGGCAGGCTAAAAGGTAGTCAATTCAGATTATCTGTATTTACAAATAGGCTGTCTAGGAATTTAGTAATTTTTAAGGCAGTAGTACCTGGATGAGCTTGAATTTGAACATATGGATGTGCCAGGAGCTCAGGAATCGATATCCTCAGTTTAGGGTCCCTTATTAAGCAACGCTATGAAAATAAACATTAAGTTTTTAAAAAAGAAAAGTTAAGTTTTCCTATGTGCCTTTGATAAAAATATTTTTTCCAGGTTATATATCATAGAAGTTTCTTTCTAGATAAGAGAGTATATTAGAGTTCATGAAAGTTTATGTAGGTGCAAAAAATTTTTTGAAATCCAAAGTATTTTCTTAATATACATTTGTATGAAATTTTTAAAGACCCTTCATATAGCACGAAATAATGACAAGGCTACCACTCAAGCCACTTGGGAAACCCAAGTATTCATACCTTCAAGGTAAACTAAACACATTCTAAAAAGCTAATTCAGTCAATAAAACCACTTAATAGAATAATTATATTTAAGCCAGTTATATACTTCTACTCATTCCATTTATTTTAAACAATTAATTATATTAAGTATTATAATATATCATATATATTATATGTATATATATATATGTTACCTTTAACACATCTTGAAGATCTTTCTCTGGAATATCAGGAAATTCAATTTCATGATTGGGATCAATTATGGCATGTAATTTGGAAATCTGATTAATTATATGCTGAAATGGTGTTTTGCCATAAGTCATATAGTACAAGATGCATCCTAAGGACCAAACATCACTTTTTGGGCTTATCTAAGTAGGAAAAAAAATAACAAATTGCATTATTTTAATATATAATAGAATCTAAGAACATTCCTAATATAAAAATGTGCATGTGTGTGTGTTTTCAAAGCCCTTTCATTGTAAATTCCTTAATATTTAATAATATAAGTATCTCTCACTGAATGTGCAAGCACTAGATTATATTTACATGACAAACCATCTTTTTCTAGTTTTCATTACATTTGGTTATTTCATCCAGAGATGATTTTCACTTTAAATCTTCCAACAAATTCATAATTAAAATATTTCAACTGAGACAAAATATTTTTGTTCACTTCTGAAAATAAGTGGAAAAATAAAAAAACTATAAACTCTAATATACTTAAAATTATAAACATAATTATATAAACAAATATACATACTAAAAGTAAATAACTATAAACTCTAATTTTTCCCAGAATGACTGATTATAATAAACTGTATATTAATTCAAGTATTAAGATTTACCATTAAGTATTAAATCATTCAGTTGACAACTAAAAAAAAAACCTCTTATGTGCAATTCAAAATAAATCACTTTTTTTAAAAGAAATCTTCCCACTTTTTAAAAAATTTTTAACTTTCTTTTTAAAGATTTATGTATTTGAAAGTCAGAGTTACAGAAGAGAGGGGGAGAGACAGAGAGGGATCTTCCATCCACTGCTTCACTCCTGAAATGGCTGCAACAGCTAGGGCTGGACCAGGCTGAAGCCAGGAACTTCATACAGGTCTCCCATGTGGGTGAGGGGCCAAACCACTGTGCCACCTGCTTCTGCTTTTGCAGGTGCATTAATTGGAAGCGGAGCAGCTGTGACCAGCACCCATATGCGATGCCAGCATCACAGGCAGTGGCTTATCCTGTTACACCACAACTCTGGCCCCTCAAAAAATAAATCAAAGTAAAATGGAAACCTGAAAGCTTAAATTACAAATTTTAGACATGAGTAAAATTAAGAAATTACAGTAAAATCTGTAAAAATAGCATCTAGGGTAAAAACTCAGAGTACAAGTTATAATTTTCATTTTTTAATTTTTAATCTACTCGAAAGGCAGAGTCACAGGAGACAGACTTATCTTCCATGCACTGGTTGACTTCCCAAATGCCTGCAATAGCCAGGGCTGTGCCAGGCTGGAGCCAGAAGCCTAGAAGTCCATTTGGGGTCTCCCACATATGCTGCCTCCCAGGATGCATCAGCAGGAAGCTGGATTGGAAGCAGAGGAGCCAAGACACAAACCTAGGAACACTGACATAGGATGTGGGCATTCCAAGTTGTGGCTTAACCTTGTTGTGTCACAATGCCTGCCTTGTTTTGTTTTCATATCTATTTATTTGAAAGGTAGAATGAGAAAGAGAAAGAGTGAGCAAGCTTCCAACTACTGGTTAACTTTCCAAATGCCCACAACAGCCAGGGCTGGGTCAGTCCAAACCCAAAAACCTAGAACTCCATCTGGGTGTCCCATATAGGAGATAGGAACCAAAATATGTGGCCTATCTCATCTGCTGTTTCCCATGGTCAGCAGCATGAATCTGGGTCAGAAATGAAAAGGGGACTAGATGCCAAGCACTCTAATACGGGATGTGGGAATCCCAAATGGTGGCTTAACCTGCTATGCCACAAAGCCATCTAAAATTCATAGTATTAATGTTTTTTAATTGCAGGCAAGGATACTAAAGTTAAATTAGTTATTATTTAAATTAAGAAGCTGGGGGTGGGGGGTGTCAGCGCAGTGGGTTAAAGACCTGGTCTGCAGTGCTGGCATCCCATGTGAGCATAGGTTCGAATACCGGCTGCTCCACTTCCAATCCAGCTCACTGCTAATGTACCTGGGAAAGCAGTAGAAGATGGCCCAAGTCCTTGGGCCCCTGCACCCATGTGGGAGACCGGGAAGAAGCTCCTGGCTCCTGGCTTTGGATCGGCTCAGCTCTGGTCACTACAGCAAGCCATGCAAGGCGGCCCAAGTCTTTGGGTCCCTGCACCTACATGGTCTGAGACTCAGATGGAGTTCTGGCCCTCAGTTTAGGCTTGGCCCAGCCCAGATCATTGTGGCCTTTTGGGGAGTAATCCAGCTGATGGAGGCTATCTCTTTCTTTCTCTAATTGCCTTTCAAATAAATAAATAAACATTAAAAAAAATCAACAAAAAAGTGAGAGAGAACATATCTATTTTAGAAGAAAAGCAGAAGCTAAGAAGATATATCTAAAAAAAAAATTCTCAAGAGAATATCTGGTGAAACCATGCTAGTTATTTGAAAAAAAATTAAAGGCCTCAATATTTTAGGAAGGTAATGATTTTGAGCTGGACAATGTACTACTTTCTCATTTAGTCTCCAATTTCTTTTGAAATAGGAACTGCCTATAAACCCAATTAACAGATGAGAAAATTAGACAGTCCCTTTCCCAAAGACAGCTGTTAGTGAAGAGGAAGATTTATGATCTGATAAAGGAGGTCTCTAGGATAATAATCTGTGCTTGCATCATTTGTCTGAGTACACTGCTACAGATAAAGAACGATTATGCTGGGAGGGTGAGGCATCCTGGCAGGCAAAATCTGTCCCTGAAAAGGGGTACCAATGAGGTTAACACAAAGTTCATGAAGTGAGTGGGAAAGTAGCCAATGGCAGGCCAGGAAAAAAATCATACTCCAATTATACCTGAGAAGGTAGAATTCACAAATGAATAAATGGTGAAAAATAAAATGTAAGAATCAGAGGAAACAAGAAAGACTTCAAAGGCTATAATTTCCTCTTATTATCAGGTGTCTAAATCAAAGCTAATTTATTAGTTTTTGTTTCTCTCATTTTTAAGCCCCCTAAAATTCCTAGGTGCATTTGTTGTAGGAGTAGGCAGTGAAGGATCACTACAATTTTTAAAGATTAACCTCAACTCAATAAAGAAGGCTGAAAATGAATTACATGATTCACTTAAGAAGGTAAGGTCTCAGTAAAGGCCAAAATAATACTAGAAATTGAAATTAAAGAAATAGAAAAACTGCCACTTCAATCTATATGGAAGAGTAGATAATTTAGAACAAAATGAGAAAATGTCCTGCAATCTTAAAGCTCAGGACTAATAGAGATCTCCCAAATTAGACCACAAGTCTTTTTTTTTTTTTTTTTTTTTTTGACAGGTAGAGTGGACAGTTGAGAGAGAGACAGAGAGAAAGGTCTTCCTTTTGCCGTTGGTTCACCCTCCAATGGCCGCCGCTGCAGCCGGCGCACCGCGCTGATCCGATGGCAGGAGCCAGGATCCAGGTGCTTTTCCTGGTCTCCCATGGGGTGCAGGGCCCAAGCACCTGGGCCATCCTCCACTGCACTCCCTGGCCACAGCAGAGAGCTGGCCTGGAAGAGGGGCAACCGGGACAGAATCTGGCGCCCCGACCGGGACTAGAACCCGGTGTGCCGGCGCCACAAGGTGGAGGATTAGCCTATTGAGCCACGGCGCCGGCTAGACCACAAGTCTTAAAATATACCTGTTACCAATAATGATGAAGCTGAAGGAAACTGTTTTCAAGCATCACCATAGTGGGGTTGGCACTGTGGCATAGCAGGTTAAGTCTCACCTGCAGCGCCTGCATCCCATATGGGCTCCAGTTCATGTTCTGGTTGTTCCTCTTCCGATCTACCTGCTTGTTAATGGCCTGGGAAAGCAGTGAAGAACGGCCCAAGTGCTTGGGCCCCTGCACCAACGTGGGAGACCCAGAAGAGGTTCCTGATTGGCCCAGCTCTGGCTGTTGTGGCCATCTGGGAAGTGAGTCAGTGGATGGAAGACATTTCTGTCTGTCTCTCCCTCTGTCTGTAACTCTGTCTCTCAAATAAATAGTCTTTTTTTTAAAAAAAAAAACAAAAAGTATCACTGTAAACAAATTTTTTGACAAACCATGACATAGGGAAATCCAACTATTGTCACTACAGAAAATATTACAAGCTCACTTTTCTATGAATAGACAGTCATTTTTTAAATATGGGGAAATCAGTGTTAGGTCTGAGATACTTAATTGATTTAAAATATTTTTCTGAATTTTGTGGTGTTTTTGATAAGCTGTTAGCTTTCTGAAATTTATAATTGCTTGCAATTTCTCATTCTAAAATAAATATTCTTTTCCATAAAAAAAAACAGAATTAACAACCTATAGATAGAACTTAAAGGAATAATTTTCAGTTATCTGGTAACAGCACAATCCTAATGATGCCTAAAGGGATATAAACCATCATTACAGTACCTTTGATTTGGATTTCCCATTCTCTCTTGAGGAAGACATATCTTTGATGGCTTCTGGTGGCATATAATTAATTGTGCCAACCTATTTGCAAAGTCACAGAAAACAAGCACAAATCAATGAAAATTTTTTATTCTGCATTATATTTTAATACAAATGCCAGATTCTTGGAAACTTGGATAATTATAGATTTTAGTGATATATTAGAAAAACTCAAAAACCTGCCAGTAATATTAAGAATATATCAAATTTCTTCACATTCCCAGCAAAATAAATTGGGTTCAGAATCAGAAATGGACTCCTTTCACAATACTGTGTTTTTTCTATATAGAGGGTAACTAGTAACATCTGCCTTAAAATCTGCTTAGATGAAGAACTTCATTATTAATTATTACAGTGCTAGAAAAGACTTTCTCTCTCTCTCTATATATAAATTTTTTTAATAAGCCAACCAACCAAGCAATATGTATACTAAAAACCATCTAGTTTTGTCTCCCAGTAGTCCTTGGGCCCACCCACATCCAAGCTGAGACTGAATGGGCATATATATCATGTAAGAATTTTTATGCAACATTATGCCAACCTTAAAACAATGTATTCACTTTATTTTACAATAAATCATCCTGCATTCAATACAGATTACCTATATTTTAAGGCCTTGCTATAGAAGATACCTTCAAGCTGAATTACAACTCAGTGTTCAGCTATTCTTTTGATATAAAAATATACGATTACCAAAGAAAAGTATTTGAAGGGCATGCCACTCATGTATTCCTCTTAACAAAGTCTGGTTTTACTGAGACAGACTGATATTGTATACATCTGTATACACGGATCACATCATCTTGGCTCCAAGCAAGATTATTATTATTAATTTGATGTCATTGGTTTAGTTTTTAGTATTTATGGGTCAAAGTATGCTATTACACCTCCTATTATAAAAATGCTGTGGAGTACAGTATTGATTATGGCATTTCCAATGTGAAAATCCATTTAAGTTTTTTTATTTCCAATTAAGTGACAGGAAAAGCTTTGCTTCTCTAGAAGAATGGGAATAATCTTACCTCATAGACAATTAAAAAGGTGTAACTGCAATTCCCTCTTTGGTTGTTAAAAGAAAACTGAGTCAAATTTTCAAGTCAATTTTATAACATCACCAAGAAGATTTCATAAGTATTTATTACTACTTCTCTAACTCAGCTAATGAAGATCATTCAAAATTGCTGGACATATTTCTACCTGGTCTTGACTCATACTTTACGTTGATCATGGTTTTGAATTTTTTAGACTTACAGTATCTATTGTTATAAAATCCTCTGAAGAATCAGGCAGATAAAAAATATAATACCCTAATACTAAAACTCCACAGGTGAAAAGGAATTCAAGTTTACTGTGTGGTAATCAACCTGAGAATTCATTACAAGTCTTACCTGAGAATCTTTAACAATACTTGTTGTATCTGGTTGCATTTGGTTTGCAATTCCAAAATCAATTAGCTTTAGCATTCCGTCAACTATCAGAAAGTTAGCAGGTTTCAGATCACTGTGAACAATGCCTTGAAATTAAAAACCATTATAATATTAGACAATACAAAACACTGTAAGGATAAAAAAACTTCACAATATACAAATCAACCTGGTTCCTTCAACTGGTCGTTCCAATTAAGAATTCATGGTTTACATATTCTACAAATACTTAGAATAGCACTTGCTATGTCCCAGGCACCTTTCTAAGTTTGTTGTTGTACTGAATCACTTAATCCCCATGACAACACTAAGGTAAATACTATTGCTATTTCCACTTTAAGGTGAGGAGACAAAGGCAATATAAGAAGTTGAGTTACTTGTTCAAGGTCAATGGCTTAAATAAACAGTGCCATAACTGAAAGCCATGCAGTCTGGTTTCAGTCTAGCCACTTAAAACATTCAATTCACTGCCCACTAGAAGGCATCAGCAATGACATTACCAGATTGTAAGACAGTGATGCTCCTAATACTGCCAATTCTATGGCCCTAATCTTGATCACTAGTGAATCATTCTTTCACTAGTAGGAAGGGAGACACAGTAGGAAATAAATAAAATGAAACCACCCTTCACAAAGAGTACATAACACAAAATGGTTAGGAAAAAAAAAGTAAAATAATCATCTCAAAATAAGAAATAAATAAACATTTCATATTTTTAGGGTGCCTGAATATCAAAGTTTCAGATCTTCTACTGTAAGTATTTGGATATAAGGATAATATACTACATTAATAACTGAGAGACACTTTGCCTTATAGACACAGGAACTTGGGTTCATACTTTTGGGTTGATGCTATATTAAGAAATGGTTTTATTAGTCTATCTTTAAACAAATTTCCAATTATTTAATCTAGTTAAAGGTATCAATAACCAACACCTTAAAATTATAGGTGTATATTTCTATCATGACAATATTAATATTTTAACTTTACATATATAAAGGAATTTTAAACTACCATGTTGATGGATTGTGTGTACTGCCTCCAACATATTTTTCCAGTAGCTTTTGCGTTCCCATGGATTAATGGATTTTTTCTTTTTAAGCCAACTATTAAGATCAATATTTCCACATTCCATTACCATGTAGATGTACTGGTCTGTGATTTCACTGCAATTAAAACAAAAGTATAAAACAACAAATGGCTTAGTAACTAAGACTTACTAAGTATTTACCCAAAGAATTATGGGAAAAAAAGGTTTTCTTTTTAAACTTAAAAAGGCTTCTTACTAATCATAAAGTCGGATGATCTTATCACTGTGTTGCTGTAGCTTATTCAAATAAGCTATTTCGTTCCGGTAACTCTCCACAGTTTGGTTATCTGCTTCTTCTAAGCTTACATATTTTATAGCATGTATCTGTTTCTTTTCATTCAGTACCTGAAATACCTACATGGTACAACAAAGAGAAATAGTTTAGAATATACTATTTATACACTATCACAATGTTTCTAAATTTATTTAAATTTTAGATTGAGGAAAACTCTAAGGAAACACTGACATGAGCACTTAAAAGTTCCCGGAATTATACTGATAAAAAAACTTCACAATATACAAATCAACCTGGTTCCTTCAACTGGTCGTTCCAATTAAGAATTGGAATATAGAATTAAGAATATAGAAGAATAAGAATTAAGAATATAGAAGAAAAAAATAATTATAATATGGGCATTTAATAACTCAAAAGGCATAAACCTAAAATATTTTTCAACATGCAAGAAGCATAATTTAAATTTCACATATGTTCGTAACATTCTATTGAATGCCTTAACCAGGGAAATAATAAAGAGAAAGACATTCAAAAATGCTAAGAATGACTAAGGGTTGTGATAAACAGTGAATTTATTTCTCAGATGGTGTTTTTTCCATCAAATGTCCACTTTATTCAGTCCTAAATGTCTAATGATGATGGCAAACGTTTGCTAAAGCCCAATCACACTGCAGAACATTGTGCAGATATCTCAGTCATCTTTCCACTGTGTGTGGTGCAACCACCAATAGCATTTAATACCTGAGAGATTAATGAACTTGGATCAGTGTAGAGCTGGAACTCAAATGCAGCTCAAACTCAAATTCCCTTCTCATCTTTAAGTCTAACTCTTTAAATCTTTGTGTCTGGAGTTAACATCATCCACATAACTAAGAATACCAAAATATATCCCAAGTGTAAGGGATGAGTATATTCAGTTGTGAAAGGTAAAGCAGGTCCAGTTTTCAAAGTCAGGCTGGTAGGAAAATGATATTTCTATAAGTATATTGTCAGGATCTCAAAGGTCAAGATCAAATTGTTCTGACTATAATGATGTCAATTTCTTAAGTAATAGTGATAGGACAGATAACATTTTGAAAAATAGAAAATACTATGTGCCTAACTTTCAGCAAACAAGCAGCTAGGATGCTGCTTCTAATAAGAATTCAATACAAAATGTTCAAGTACACAAGAAAAATGATCCTCATTTATCCCCTTTGACAAACGAGAGTAAAAAAGCATTTAATCTTCACTAGTTACCAGATATTGGGAAGGAATAAGAAGAGCCAAGTGTGTATGAGATTCATGTACTAAAACTGCACAAGCAAGAATTACCTATCAAGACCTCAGACATAGTTTGTAGAACACTCAAAGTATTGCTGGATTTATCTGGACAGAGCACATTAGAGGGGAGTGGGAGCATAAAATAGCTATAGGGCATGAGGCAATAGAAAATAACGAAAAATATAAAAGAACTTAAAGCCATTTTATAGAAGGTAAACAGCCTCACAAATCTCAGTGAATTGAGAGCACTACTGCTATTGAGTGCAATATTGACTCTTATGACTTTGTGTATAACGGCTATATTATATTTGTATGCTATTTAATAAGGCATGGAGTTGTATACTCATACAATGAAATATCTTTATGTAGGAAATACTTTTAAAAATTGATTGATAATACTGGAGATAAGAAATCAGATTCTAGAAATACTTTGAGGTAGAAACAGTAAGACTTGCTGATTGGCTGTATGAGAGCAAATGAAATAAACTGGTTTTTGGCCAAGGAATTAGAAAAATGGAGCTGCCATTTACTGAAAAGGAAAAGACTAAGGAGCAAGAATTTTGAGTGGACGTATTTCTGGTAGACAGCGAGAGATGCTATACAGTAAAGTTGAATAGGTAAGTCAGGAATTCAAAGGAAAGGTCTAACCTAAAAATTTAAGTTTGAAAGTTATCAGTGTATACCTGATATTTAAAACCACAAGACTGGAAGAGATCAAGTAAGTGAATTTAGAGAGATGAAAAGAGGTCAAAAAGCTCTGGAGGACTGGCATTGTGGGGTATCAGGTAAAGCCTCTGCCTGCGATGCTGGCATATGTGTGCAGGTTCATGTCCCAGCTGTTCCACTTCCGATCCAGCTCCCTGCTAATGCCCTGGGAAAAGCAGAAGATGGTCCAAGTGCCTGGGCCCTCAGCATCCATGTGGGAGACCCAGATAAAGCTGTTGGTTCTTGGCCTTGGCCTGGCCCATCCCTGGCAGTTGCAGCCATCTGGAGAATGAGCCAACGGAAGATCTGTCTTTCCCTCTCTTTCTGTAACTGTGACTTTCAAATAAATAAATAAATAAATCTTAAAAAAAAAAAAAAGAAAGAAAAAAGACTGAGCTCTGGGATACTGCTGCGGCATAGTGGGTAAAGCCACCACCTACAGTGCCTATATCCCATATGGGTGCCGGTTTGGGTCCCGGCTGCTCTTCTTCCGATTCAGCTCTCTGCTAAGGCCTAAGGAAGCAGTGGACAACATCCTGAGTGCTTGGGCCCCTGCACCAGTGTGGGAGACCTGGAAGAAGCTCCTGGTTTCCAGCTTCGGTTCAGATTGGCTCAGCTCTGGCAGTTGTGGCCATTTTGGTGAGTGAACCAGGGGATAGAAGATCTCTTTCTCTCTGTAACTCTACCTTTCAGATAAATAAATAAATTTTTTTTTTTAAAAAGGGTCAGTTTGACAAGAAGAAAATAGAAGGGCCAAGTAGGGAAAAACATTTCCAATGAGAAAAAATTGTCCCAGATGCCAACTAATTCAAAAAGCAAAGCTAAAAATTACATTTGGCAAAAACATATGACCTTGATTACAGCTGTCTTGGTAAGTGATAAAAGCAAAAATCTGAATGAAGTAGATTTAAGAGAATAGAGTAAGAATCAAAGATGGTTAAGTTTAGATAACACTTAATATGTCTTCTATTTATAGAGAATTAGAACCATAGTTAAAACTCATACAAATTTAGGAAATAATCTAATTCTGGAAACACATTTGTTGCTAAGTTGTTTCTGAAATGAAAAAGCAAAAATATCCACTAGTGAAAATCTTCACTGAATGACCCTCTGACCACTTTTAGAAATATTCTCTGAAAAGGTGGGCATTTAGCCAAGTGGTTAAGATACCTGTTAAGATCACTACATTCCGTTTCAGAGGTAATGGCTCAAATGCTTGGGTCTTTGTCACCCATGTGAGAAGCCTAGACAGGCCCAGTTCTAGCCATTGTGAACATATGAGAAATAAATGAGAAGATAGCTCTCTGTCTTTGTCTCTATGTCTGTATCTTTAAAATTTCTTTAAAAATACAGGGTAGGCATTTGATGTAACAGTTTAGTCACCACCTGGGACACCTGTATCCCAAACTAGAATGCCTGAGTTCAAGTTCTAGCTTTGCTCTCCTTTCCAGTCTCTTGCCAGCGTATGCCCTAAGAGGCACCAGCTGATGCCTTAAGTGGTTGGGTCCCTACCACCCATGTAGGAGACCCAGTTTGAATTCCTGGCTTCTGGCTTTGACCTGGCACAGTCTTGCCTGTTGTAGGTATTTGTAGTGTGAATCAGTGGGTGGGAGATCTCTCTGTTTCTCTGCTTTTCATGGAAGTAAAAATTTAAAAATATATTTGTGGAAATATTCTTTTATGATAAGACATATTGGTCATTTGTCACTCTAAGTAAATATCAGTGTAACCGTAGAAGAAATTTGGAACCACAAGACAATGCAAATAAAGGCAAGAAATGAGGACCGCGAGGCAGGTCTAAAGAGGACACGTCATTTTGAGGGAAGGGGAGGAGGAAGGCAGAGGACGAGAAGGCCTTGTTTTTGGCTCAAAGGCAAAATGGGCCCCTAAAAGTAAAAAGAGCACCACAGGTGAAAAGACAAAGAAAAGCAAGTTTAGAATATTTGGATTCATTTTTAAATATTTAAGATACTCACCTTACTTGAACCTCCACTTCCTATCTGCTTTAATATGGAATAAATTCTTCCTTTAACTGAAATACATTCATTTGTTGAAGAGGATGCTGAAACCTAAAAATTAAAACATATAAACAAAGGTTCAAAAACATGCCTATATAACTAGCTTGCATTTGGTGCTATGAAATGGTTCCAATTTTGAAATTATCTTAAATCTTAATTAGATATATTATAGTATTTTTAAATGGAACTTGCTTTGTATGCTTTCTTTAATCAATGAAATAAATGGATTGAATTAATACATGGACAGACTTCCAAGGTCTCCCTCTTTAACTGTTTTTTTTTTTTTTTTTACTTAACATAAATATACATTTTAAGGAGAAAAAAATCACTTATCCTGCATATAAACTCATAAGCTATTATTTTTAGCTTTTTTCCCTTATACTTCCTTTATGTGTCTATATATATGTATTTGTATATACTCACATACGCACCACTATATCTAAATTCTTTTCATTTTGTATTAGATTATAAAGGAAGCAATGTGTTAAGGTGCTGAGGCACTGATTTATCAAATTCCAGCAATGCCCCTCCTCGTGCCAAGTAATGTTCTTTCAACAAGCTACTTAACTTCTCTGACCATCAACACCTTCCCCAGCAAACTCTCACCTGACACTGCACATGTAATTTTCCTCTTCATCCCTTTCCTTGTGCTGGAGGACCTCTGTGTACCTGCAAATGCTCCGAACAGACTGAGTGCTCAGACCACCTTATTCTGAGCTGATAAACAAGTCTACGCAAAAGGAGCTCCTGATGAGCTGATTAATCCAATTCAAAACAAGTTTACCTGAGGTAAACTTTAACTGAGTTTTGTTTTAGATTTAAATGATAGAATGGCTCTCATGTAATATCCTTCTATTTAAATAAAAAGATAAGGCTTCTAATTTCTTTAAAGTCTAAGACTGAAAGACATTGTTGAGCCATGAAATGCTTCCTGTGACAAAGTATTAGGCTTTGAAACAGGCACTTGTAATATCCTCAAGGTTCCCTCCTCCCTTTTGTTCATCCTCTGTGTTCTTCTTTTTATACCTAAGGAAGCAACATTTCTGAGAGAAAAAAGCAGTTTCCCCCTATTTGCTGGCAGTCATCAGAAGAAAGTAATTCTAACTTCTTTCTGAATCAATACCAGCGTGCTGTTCAGTTTCCAACACAGGAGTTTCTCAAATCCCCTTTAGTCTGCACTCCTCACTGGTCAGTTCCCAAAATGCAAATCACCTTCCTGCTCCAACCTCTCCACAGCTTCCTATCCTTAGGGTGAAAGCTAAAAGGCTGAACAGAGCCTTGGGGTACACCCCTGCTCCTTCCTGAGAACTCCAGAGCCAAGCAGACAGATCAATTCCAGCAACACCCCTCCTTGTGCTCTTCTTAGTTCCCTGTTTTCACTGGCCTCTTCTAGAAGGCTCCCCAAGCTCTTCTCTGTGCCTTCTCCCTTTCACCTACACAGGGCCTGACAGTACTAATAGCTCAATAAATATGTGTTGAATCAATGTATGGACAAGCCTGATCACTTCTTTTTCCTTTGTAATTTATATTTTCTCAGTCCTCAAAGCACTATCATCCCTTTCCATAGTTAGCATAATATATTGTCAGCTAATTTTTTGCCTTTTGTTTTATGAAATTGTGACACATAGTGCATAACAGAAAATTTAACATTTTAAACATTTTTAAATACAACTCAGTGGCATTGAGCACATTCACAGTGTTGCATGAACAAATGTTTCATCATCATATAATGAGACTTCACATTAAGCAGTAACTCCCCAATTCTCCCTCCTTCAGCTCCTGATAACTGTTATTCTACTTTGAATCAACTAGTTTTTTAATCACTTAATTTTTACAATTCTAATTCTTTGCTATTTTAATTAAATAAAAATTGCTATTAACATTTATTATTTACAAAGTACCATACCCTGTTTTAAGAGTAACACATATGAAGGCACTACAAAAAGTCTGTGGAGAACTGGAATTAAAAGATAAGTTTATTTTGGTCCAAATAATTTTTGAAACCCACACATAGTTTTTCATAATATACATTTTCCATAAACTTTCTGAAGACCTGCCAGATACATAGGATTGCAAATTATTTTTCCACCAAAATAATTTTTAATTCTATTTCCACTAACTTTTTGGAGCATTCTTATAGTTAACTAATTTAATCTTTACAACTATCCCAGGAGTAATGTGCTTTATTTTCTCCATTTACAGACGATGAAATGGGCAAAAAGATTTACGTAACTTGCAAAAGATCAGTTAGCCCTTAAATAGCAAGGCTGGGCAGTCTGTCTCCACTAATACTGTCTAACAGTATTAAGCTGACTTTCCAATAGTTTCTAGAAACTATTTTTAGTTACAGTGTCAAAGTATCTGATTTTTCCTCAGATGGGAATACAATCACCTCACGAGCAAAAACTTTGTCTCTTAGTTTATAATATTTACAAAAAAGATTCTACTAGCACCTCATATTGTAATTCTAATATTGTTACAAATTTACTTTTCTAAATGAACTGTATATTACTTAATAAATGAAATAAAGCTGCCCACTCACAGCTGACAGTTAAACACAACAAAAGGTAACCCTGATTATGAGAAATTTTATTCAATTATTTAAACTAGATCCATTGGCCTAGTTAATGAGAACAGCTTCATCACCTTCAATAACTAACTTCCCAAAGTCATCAAGACACTCCTATTAGGATGTCAAAAAAGTTTTGCCTACCAGGAATAAGAATGGACAAGTTCTTAACACCATTCCTAAAAACCAGATGCTATAAAAATAAAATCTATGAATCTGACTGTACCTTAACATACACCACATGAATAAAGTTTACCGAACCTGTAAATTCTGAAGTGGAGTAGCGGGTATTTGCTGCTGCTGCTGGAAGTAGGCAACTTGGCTATACGGTGTTGACAACTGACGAGCAGGTGCAAAGTCGTTCTTTACAACTGGAGTTCTAAAACTAGGAAAGATTTTGTATTTAATTTAAAAACATTAAAGTTAAAAATACCCCAAGATTCGGATTAAACTCTCATGTTTTAAAATGTTGATATAAATTTAAAAGAGGTACCTCCCCAAGTTAATTTCCATAACATATCTGATATTTATTTATTCATGATATTCCATCACCACATATTTAATTTTGGGAAATTCTTTCTGAAAGTAATTTTTTAATCCCCAGACAAGGCCAGCGCCGCGGCTCAATAGGCTAATCCTCCGCCTGTGGGGCCGGCACACCGGGTTCTTGTCCCGGTCGGGGCGCCAGATTCTGTCTTGGTTGCTCCTCTTCCAGGCCAGCTCTCTGCTGTGGCCCGGGAGTGCAGTGGAGGATGGCCTAAGTGCTTGGTCCTGCACCCGCATGGGAGACCAGGATAAGCACCTGGCTCCTGGCTTCGGATCAGCGCGATGCACTGGCCGCAGCACGCTGGCCGTAGTGGCCATTGGAGCGTGAACCAACGGCAAAAAAGGAAGACCTTTCCCTTTCTCTCTGTCTCTCTCTCTCACTGTCCACTCTGCCTGTCAAAAAAAAAAAAAAAAAAATCCCCAGACAAGAAGTCTTTGTTAGTAAAATAAACAAAACAACATTTTAAATATGGAATTACATGAATTTAGCCAAGACAAAGATGAGCTTACGGCTTATCACAGACTTTATAAGTGCTTTTAAAAATATGTGTTCTTTTTATTTGAAAGCAGAGAAGCAGAAAGAGATGGGGACAAGCAAATGTCTACAGCAAAGTCAAAGCCAGGAGCCAGGAACTCAGTCAAGGTTCCTTATGTGGGTGGCAGAGACCAACTACTTGAATCACCTGCAGACTTCAAGTCTGCACTAGCAAGAAGCTGGAATCAGGAACTCACACCCATGCATTCTAATATGAGATGTGTGCATTCCAACCAGTGTTTTGACCACTAGGCCAAATGCCTGCTTCATGAGTGCTTTTTAACAATGTTCTATAATGATTCGCTAGAAATGTAAGGGGTTTGGTCTGAGAACCTGCATGGGTTCAGTACACATTTGCACTCTACCTTGTTTGCTGTTTTGCATTTTCAGCACCCAGAACACTGCTTGGCACTAATATTTGTTAACAATAAATAATACAACAACAATAAATAATACAATCACAAGAAATACCTATATCACTATTTTAGTTAGCAAACATTCTTTAAAATATCCTATACAAAAAAAAAATTGAGGTCATATATTGCAAAATCATTAAACAAGAGGCTAGGTTAGAAAACCCCGAGAATCAGTTCTAAAGACTACATTTTCCACTAAGATATTAAAAATATATTAATATGGATGATTGTAGATTAAGGGGTATCATACCTCTATTTCCTTTCTTTGAAATGGCATTCATTTGTTTTTGCAAATTCCTTGCTTCTTAATCATTAGCACTCATCATCCATTTTCTTCACTTATCCCTCATTACTATTCACTCAAGTCTTAGACCTTGAAACATCTCTAAAACTATGTGAACTATACAATCAGCTTCTTAGAGAAATGATCACATTCCAGTTAATACCTCCTATGCTCTAAGAATGCTAACCTTTAAATTTCTCTCTCAATTAGGTTTCAGGGTAGCAATGCATCCTTAGCGTATTTACAGACTGAAATACAAATTACAACATAACAGCCTACATTTATAACAAGCCTTAAAATATATTTATCTTTATATAATTTACACACACACACACACACACACAATGTACACACCCACTCATTGTTGTAGACACCTTCCCCCTCCCATTTTACAGTTGAAAAAAACGAATACTGATTAAAACAACAACAATTTGGAAAGTCTGTAACACATCAGGTTTCAACATCAAATTTACTTGGCCCCAAACATGTTATTTTACTGTTGGGATTCTGAGTCCCAAGCTGAATAACAGTAATTACCAGCTCATGTAATCATCCAGGGTATTGTTGCTTGGCGTCTTACAAATAGATTTTGGATCAATCCATTTAGGTGCTGTTAGTGGTGGTGACTGCTTTGAAACTGAAAAGACAGGTTGCTCAACAGTGGTACGCTTCTGCTAAAAGAAAATTTTAAATGCTATGATTTAGAGTTTTTAAATTAGTCACATATTCAACAGTTTTACAAACCCTAACTTTTAAAAGACAACTAATAAAAATATGAAGCACAAAACACTGCAGACTTTCAATAACTCTTTTGTGTAAGTTCCTTTATTACAAACTCTTAAGTCTAATACATTCCATTCAAACCATTTATAAGAAGAGGAAAGGCACAAAAATTTGTTTTTAAAAATAAGGCCAAGAACCCCAATCAGAGCTTATAAATCTAAAAAAGCACTCTTGTGCATCTAAAAATCAGCCTTTTTGGGGCCAGTGCTATGGCGCAGTGGGTTAAAGCCCCACCCTGCAGTACCAGCATTCCATATGGTCGCCAGTTCGAGTCCCAGCTGCTCTGCTTCTGAACCAGCTCCCTGTTAATGTGCCTGGGCAAGCAGCGGAAGATGGCTCAAGTCCTTGGGCTCCTGCACTTACGTGGGAGACCAGGCAGGGGCACCTGGCTCCTGGCTTCAGATTGGCTGAGCTGTGGTCATTGCAGCCATTTGGAGTATGAACCAATGGATGTAAAATCTCTATCACTCTGTCTCTACCTCTTTGTCTCAAATAAATACATAAAATAAATCTTAAAAAAAAAAAAGCCTTCTTTTAGTCAATAAAACTATATATCATTTATCTCAAATGTAGCCAAATACTAATTAATTACTTAGCAATATTTTGAATAGCAAATGTGTATTTCACATTCTTGGCCCTCATTTGGAAGCATGCAACAAACATCCTTTGCAGCAAGGATTGTGAGACGACAGCCTGCAGGCGGAATCTGGCTTGTTGCTGCTGCTTACATTTCTAAAAAAGACCTTACTGAAATATAATTATGAAATATACAGCATTGCAACAAAATGAGAGAAATACCTTTTTTTCTAAGATTTATTTTATTGATTATTACCTTTTGCCTGAACATTTTTCTTGTTTTCTCCATGTCCTGTTTTATTGTTTTTCAGTAAATACCCAACATAGAACCTGACTGCAAATATTCAGCTGCACAAAGAAGGAGCTATGGTTTAAGTACAAATGGGAAACAAGATTCCCTTGCTTTAAATAAACATTAAACACAACACAGTAAGACGGGTATTTTGCCTAGCAATTAAGATACCAGTTGGAACACTGGCATTCCCTATTGGAGTGCTTGGGTTCAAATCCCAGCTCTACTCTTGATTTCATCTTCCTGCTAATGCAGGCCCTGGGAGGCAGCAGGTGATGGCTCAGGTAATTGGGTTCGTGTCTCCTGGCTGTTGCAGACAGTTAGGGGGCAAATCAGCAGATGGGAGCTTTCTTCTTGTCTCTCAAATAAATAAAATTAATTAACTAAAACGTGTGCTACAACCATCTGGCCTCTAGGTAGTAGGTCTATCTTGCCTGTGGACCTTCAATAATGTCATGATTTCCTTCCTAAGGGTGCCAATGATTGAACATGATCACAATAAGCCCCTCTTCTAGACACTTCTGAGACCTCTATGCAGTGGCATAAACATACTGGAGTGCTGGTTCAAGTCCTGGCTACTGTGTGCTTAGGCTCCAGCTTCCTGCTAATTTACCTGGGAAGGCAGACGATAATGGCCCAAGTACTTGGGCTTCTGCCACCTCTGTGGGAGACTCAGACAGTGTTCCTGGCTCCTGGCTCTGACCTGAGCCACTCTTGGATGCTGCTGTCATTGAGGAATGAACCAGTGCATGGAAGATTCTCTCTCTGTCTTCCAAATAAATAAATAAATCTTAAAAACATTTCTAGAGACAGCTGCAGGACAAACAATGCCTGTAAGAAACTGGCTAGTTTCTTCTTTTTTTCCTACGTGTACTAGCCAGTGGTTTTCAGTATAGCCACACTAGTGTGATCATCACCATTATCCAATTTTAGAATACTTTCATCTCCTAAAAGTAAACCCCACACCCACTAGTAGTCTTTTCTTATTCCTCATTGTTCCTCATCCCTTTCAACCGCTAACTTACTTTCCTTTTCAGAACATTGGACATAAATGAATCATACAATATATGGCCTTTTTTGATGGGCTCCTTTCACTTAGTGTGTTTTGAAGGTTCTTCCGTGCCATAGCATAGATCAGTATTGCACTCCTTTCCATTGGGTAATAACATTTCATTGTATGAATGTACCAATATCCATTCGTCAGTTGATAGTTATTTTGTCACTTATACATTTTGGCAATTAGAAAACTGCTGTTATGAGCATTTGTATACAAATATTTGTGTGGTTATATTTTCAATTTTCTGTAAACCTATAAACTACAGGTTCAAACAGACTATAAACCTAGGAGTAGAACTGCTGAGTCACAACTCTAGGCTTAACCTTATTTTAAGGAACTGACAGAATATTTTCCAAAGTGACTGCACCACTTTACATTTCCATAAGCAGTATAGGCTTCCAAAGCTCTTCACATTCTCACTAAAACTTGTCACTGCCTCTTTAAAATTACAGCCTTCCTAGTGGTAAGAATCATAACACAATAAAATCATAACACAATAAATAATAACATAAGTCATAACACAATAAAAAGCATAACATTCTGAAAAAGCAGCCATAGATAAGTTGATGAATGGGTGTAGCTGTGTTCCAATCAAAATTTACACAAACAGTCTGGTAACTGGATGTGACTCAATGACTATGGTTTGCCAACCCCTTCATCAGTCTATCAGTACTCTAGAAACAATGAAAATAGAATTTAATCTGATATATACACTTATTGAATTTATAATTGCTAATCCTTATTTTCTAACTGATTAAAAAACAACCCTTAAATGATTCCACTAAATATGGTACAAAAGAATTTAAAGAAAGAAAACATTTAGCAAGATCATCAAACTTCAGGAATACATTATAAACAATAGTGATGAGGCAGTTTAGAAAAAAAGAAAGTCACCTCTGCATCTACTTTTGGGGTTCGCTCTGGAATGTGCCACTGACTTGAAAATGTAGCAGGATTTTGACTCACACATTCTGACTTTCTCTTAGGTTGCCAAGGCTTCTGGTTACTTTCTGGAATTTTTGGTTCTTGATGTTCTTTAGTTTCTGCAATTGTATTTGTTGTTGTTGTCATTACAAAGCAAAGATACTTGATAATAACAAAGCAAAGGCTAAAATACAACAAATTATAAGGTGTACTGGTTTTTTGCTTTTAAAAACAAAGAATCAAAGAAAAGAAAAAAACTAAAAGCTAAGCCAGTAGGTGACAATTTTTCTGTAAGTCAGTTTTACAAAGTTACAACAGTTACCTTCCTAAATTGTTACTATGAATAACACAACTATTCCTTTCATAACACAATAAAAAATATAAAAACAAAATATTAGCACTGAGGAGAGTCAAGATGATGTAATAGGGAGGGAACTTACTGCTCTAGTCTAGGGGAAGATAGTTAAAAAAAAAAAAGTGGAGAGAGCTCAATCTCAGGGAAGAGTTGGAGAGAAAACTGCAGGAGACTTCAAGCAAATTAGAGGGACACTGTGGACCTAAGTGGAGGGTGTGGGCATGCACAACTCAGGACCCCAGCAGCCGAGAGCCTCAGCACCAGCTCTGAAGTGAGGTGAATCCAGACTGCAGCAGCTGAAGCCACTGGTGATAAAGGATCCTGACTATGAAAAAGGATCCTGACTATAAAGACACTATGGCTGCATGGGAGGGCAAAGGGTATGGTTAGGACTTTGGGCAGTCACTGTGGGGGCCTTCACATGCTGAGGGCTCCCTGATTCCCTGGTGAGGTTCATTGCTGCAGGATCCCTATTACACTGAAGACTCCGTGGATCCTTTGTGTGGTTCTTGTAGCAGTGCATGTGAAAACTGTACCCACTGGGACTAGCGCCTAGGAGTTTTCTCCTTTGAGGTGAGGAGGTGAGCATGAAACTACACCAAGAGTTGAACAAACCTTCCCTCTGATAAAAAAAAAAAAAAAAAAAAAAAAAAAAAAAAGATTTACCACACCCAACTTGGGTGTCACTTTAGACACTCCCCTCAACCTAGAGCACGAACAGAGCTCCCTGACCACACCCAGTACCCGTTTCTGGGTATTCACAGAAAGAGCAGACACTCCACTAAGCCACAGAGGCACAGTCCACAGATAAAAGCCATGGGGGTGGGGGGTGGGGGGAGCCACCAAGTATCACCACAAATTCCTAACAATAAACAGCAATTCAAGAAACAAGAAAAAGGAAGACAACACAACGTGATGCTCCCAAAAGAACACATTTCAATACTAGAATATGAAGATAAAGAGATTGACGAAATGCCAGAAATGGAATTCAAAAAACTGATCGTATGATTACTAAGAAGTAATCAAATTATTAGAGAACATTGGGGAAACCCTGCAAGACATGGCACAGGCAAAAGTTCTTGGAAAAGATCCAGAGACACAGGCATCAAAGCCAAAATTGACAAATGGGATTATATCAAATTGATAAGCTTCTACACCTCAAAAGGAACATTCAGTAAAGTGAAGAGGCAACTGACAGAATGGAGAAATTAGTTGCAAACTATGCAACTGATAGAGGATTAACAACCAGAATACATAAAATGATCAAGAAACTCAACAACAAAACAAACAACCCAATTAGGAAAAGGGAAAAGGACTTAAAAAGGCATTTTTCAAAAGAGGAAATCCAAATGGCCAATAGACACATGAAATAATGCTCAGGATCACTAGCTGTCAGGGAAATGCAAATCAAAACCACAGTGAGGTATCATCTTACCCCAGTTAGAATGGCTTTCATATAGAAATCAATAAACAACAAATGCTGGGAAGGATGTGGGGAAAAAGGTACCTAATCCACTGTTGGTGGGAATGTAAAGTGGTATAGCCACTGTGGAAGACAGTATGGAGATACTTCAGAAATCTGAATATAGACCTACCATATAACCCAGATATCCCACTCCTGAAAATTTACCCAAGGGAAATGAAATCAGCATAATGAAAGTTATCTGTACCCCCATGTTTATTGCAGCTCAATTCACAATAGCTAAGACATGGAATCAATCCAGATGTGCTTCAACTGAAGACTGGATAAAGAAATTACGGGGTACGTACACCACGGAACACTACATAGTGGTAAAAAAAAATGAAAAAATGAAATCCTGTCATTTACAACAAAATGGATGAAACTAGAAAACATCATACTTAGTGAAATAAGCCAGTCCCCAAAGGACAAATATATGTTCTCCTTGATCTGTGATAACTAATAGAGCACATAAAAGGTAATCTATAGAAGTAAAATTAACTTCAAGATGCAGCAACTTTGAACAGCCCTTGTCTTGATGGTTGTGGAACAGTATTTTTTTTCATAGAATTTGTTCAACTCTTTACTTAGTACAGAGCTCATCATATATGTATAAAGTTAATTGAAAATAGATCTTAGTTAAAAACAAGAATGGGAATAGAGAGGGATGAGGAAGAAGGATGAGAGTATGGGTGGAGGGTGGGTATGGTGGGAAGAACCACTATAATCCTAAAGTTGTCTTTACGAAAAGCATGAAGTTTGTATTCTTTGAATAAAGGTTTCTGTAAAAAAAATTATCATTTAATATATGAGGATATAGTGAATTTATTCAAATTGCTTATTCTTAAGTGCAAAACTTACTGAACATTTGAAAATCAATGTAATTTTGCCATCATAAAGAAAAAGAAAGTGTATGGTTAACTCAATAGATGCAGAAGAAGGTTTTGATAAAATTCAATACTTATATTAGTAATATAAGAAACAGTTCTCAATTTATAAAGAATAGCTATAGAAATCTACATCAATCACCATACTAAAGGTAAAATACTGAAAGCTTCCTTTTAAAGTGAGGAATCAGAGAAGAATACCACATATTCTTTCTATTCATTACACTGAAGGTCATAGCAACTGTACCAAGGTAAAGAAAAGAAAGTTTATTATGAGAGTTAGAAAGAATAAAATTACACTGTTTTCAAACAAGATGATTATGTGCTCAGAAAATTTCAAATATACAGGAAAACTATTCTACAGTGAATTTAGCAATGTCACTATCTCTAACACCAATAAGTAAAACTCAAGCCTATGTTTAAATACTAATGAAGATTAGAAGATAAAATGCTCTTTTAAAAAGATAACAGTATCGCGGTCAGCACTGTGGCGCAGCGGGTTAAAGTCCTGGCCTGAAGCGCCGGCATCCCATATGGGCGCTGGTTCTAGTCCCGGCCACATGGGAGACCAGGGTGGAGTTCCTGGCTACTGGCTGCAGACTGGCCCAGCCCTGTGTGTTGTAGCTATCTGGGGAGTGAACCAGTGGATGGGAGATCCCTCACTGTATGCCTCTTCCTCTCTGTCACTCCGCCCTTCAACAAATAAAATGACTCGGAAGAATATGGAAAGAGAATAACATTGATGTTCAACAGTCAATACAACCATTTTAGTAATTAACAGCATCTACCAAAGCTGAACATATGCATGTCATGTGACCTAACAATCCCTCTTGGAATATACTCAGTAGTAATGTGTACCTATGTAAACCAAAAGACAAACCATAGCAGCATTATTCACTGTACAAAAACTGTTATCCATGTACATTTAGATAAACAAATTCATTCATACAGAAAACATGTTACAAGAAAACATTCATACAATGTAATACTATATAGCAATAAAAATCAACAAAATAGACACCATAAGAACAAGAATGAGTACATATGGAAGGAGAAAGGTATTGGGTAGGAGGAGATCAAAGAAGTTACTGAGTTGCCAACAGTGTTCCATTTTTAATTGAGTATTAGATACAAGTATGCACTGAGTTCTGATACTAAGTTGGGCTATATACTCCTGTGGACAGTTTTCTGACTGTTTTACTTCAAAATAAAGCATTAATGGTACAGAGTAGACACTCAACAAGCATTCATCTAAAAACACTAAATTAGGCATCAAATGAGTATTAATAACATCCATATTTGATATGGATAATTTTCTCAATTATATCAGCTTATAATGATGTTCCTTATAATCATTATAATGATGCAACCTCACTGGGACCTTGTCTCACTCATTTATAAATCCCTGGAACATTTATCACTGTACCCACATACTAGAAAATCAAACGTTTACTCATAAGCCGGTATACCCACATCCCATATCAGAGTTCCTAGATTTAAGTACTGGCATGGCTTCTGTGGGGAGCAACTGGGAGCAACTCGGACTAGACTAAGTTACTGGAATTAAGACTTATTCTATGCATCTGCTCTCCCACAATATGGCGCTGAGAAGGGAAACAGCTTCTACACAGCTGCCTCCAGTTCAACCAATAAACTGTAGGACCTGCTCCTGAATGGAGGAGAGCAGCATACTCGGCGTGTGGGTAGCAGAGTTGGGATTGGTGGAAGAGGACTATAAAGGAGGAGAGAGACAACATGCACCAGGAACATCTATCTGAAGGAACACCTGTGCAGCCCCCGAGAGAGCCGGCCGGCGGTGTGCCGCTCCCCTGCGGAAGTGGGGAATGTGGCAGGGGGAACCGCCCTTCCACGGAGGTGGAAGGGACGGTAGCCAACCCGGGAAGAACCAGCAGCAAACCCGGGGAGGGCCGAGCAGACGAAAGAACAGCGCAGGGTTCTGTGTCGTTCCTCCACGAAGAGGGGGAGCGACAGCTTCCAATTCCAGTTTCCTGCTAACGTGGACCCTGGGAGGCAGTAGGTGATGGCTCAAGAGTTTAGATCCCTGGATTGAATTCCAGTCCCCTGGCTTTGAACTGTCCCCATCTAGCTCTTGCAGGCATTTGGGAAGTGAACCAGTGGAAGAAGATCTCTCTCTCTCTCTTTCTCTCTGTGTCCATGTCTCTCTTTCACATAAAATAAAAGTAAATAAACTAAATGTATAATAAAAAGATGAAAAGGAGAAGTATCATATGAAACAGCTCCGTGTCCTTCCTAGAAAATACTTGTTAAATCAACTGAAAAGAAAACTCATTTCCATTGTATTTTCCCTTCACTCTTCTTTTAGGCAAACAAACTGGTCTTTGCTTTTCATACACACTACTGAATTGAACTAAAGTACAAAATGAAGGAACACAGACAGTCTCATGTCACAGTTCACGGTGAGGTAGTTTGCTTTCTCAAGGTATAAAGTGATTTTCTTAAATAAATAAATAAGTTAGTGATTTCTATCATTCCTACCTTCTAATTGAGTTAGAAGACTTGAGTCAGTTTTATTCTTCAGGGTTACTGATTCAGCAGTAAGTTCACAACTCTTTTCATCTGATACCAAAGGTTCCTTGGAATGGCTGTTTTGAACACTCTACATGAAAAAAAAAAAATCAAATAAAGTTCCAAAAGAAGTAGTAGCACTAATTTGTCTTACTGTTCAACATACTACAGTTTATCCATATAAAGACTATTAACAAAATTATCTCTATAATCATATATAGACTCACAAACTTCCTGCAAAGATTAACTGCCTGAATTATTGATTAGAGCAATAGGAAAGGTCATAATCTGGCCCATTTCAATTATAATAATATAACATATTATTATATTATTATGTATTATATTATTTCAATTATAATAATTATATTACTAAAAGGTATTTCATTTCAAAAGAGGTTAGAACGTTGAATCCAAGATAAAATAAGCATCATGATAAAAGAAAGGAGTTGAGGATTTTGTTTCTATTATTAAAAAATAAAGTACTTAATCACAAAAAATGAAAGCTTTAGTTAAAATTAATATTTGTATTAACACAAATACAAGACAGTAATTATTATAAACTCAGTAAACATTTCAGCACAATTATGCATTATTCCCTACGATAGCCTTGATTAGGAAAAATTATTCCAAAACAGAATCACGAAAGAGGCATTACAAAGAATATAAAATTGAGAAGACCTATATCTCAATGCCAGGGTTTAAGTAAAGTACAGTAAGAATAGTATAACACCAAAAAAAATCACAGGGCACCAGGGAATATAATTATTTCCTTCTGTCTTTGAAGTTCACACAAAATTATTTTGCCACAAAGGAGGTCAGGATTGAATACTTACTCCTTTGTCTCTGCACAGCACAATTTACTCTCATTTTTAGCTAAGACATCTGGTCAGAATCATAGGATTAAATACACCAGGAAACAAAACTGTGGGGCAATAGTGTCCCCAGCCATCACCAAACCCAGGCCAACTAATCTGCTTAAACATACACCTAATCAATCGTGCTTCATGATTGCTCTAAGAAATCCCTGAATTGTGTTCTACCATTTTAATCTTGGAGAAACAGTCTCTGTGTTTCAGACCTCTCTACGACTTCCCATTGGTGGTCCCAGACCTACTGGAACTACAGGAACACTGCTAGAGAAATAAACTAAGAAAAAACTTCACCACAAAACCTAGATCTGGAAGTTTTGCTTCATATAAAGACTTAAAACTTGAAATACCTTTAAATTTCTCAATTCACAGGAATCATTTCCACTTGATCTAAATCCAGGCACAATTAAATCTCTGCATTCTGATCCAGAGATCTGTCTAAAAGCCATAAAACAAAGCAATTTTAACACGTAATTTAAAATTAATATTTTCATTTTAAAGTTGACATTCTAACAAATATATATATATGTATTGGAAAAAAAATCTGTTAAAATGACTTTTTTTAAAGTGACATGATTCTAACACTTGTACAAAGGTGACTAAGTTAAAAAATTAAGTGCTGGGAAATGACATAACCAATAAAGAGATAGGTGACTGCTTATCTCTTCATTATCTAATGAGTAACAATCATAGTTAAGGTAAGAATGTGGGAAAGGAAAAGTGTGTAGGCAACACTACATTTCAGATTGCAAATAGCTTAAGGATAAGATCCAGAGAACAAACTCTTTTGTGGGCCTGCACAGTACTAGCATAATCTATCATTACAGGAACCAAGAAAATTGTGGGCTTTTTTTTTTGGGGGGGGGGTTGTTTTTATTGTTTTGGAGTAGGAGAAAATCTTCTTCATTCTTCATCTAGGTAATGGGAATGAAATGAGCAATATGAAATGAAAGTAGTTAAGATTCTGAAGCTTAACCTTGATAACCAAAATGCTCATCTAATGTTATCTGTCAAGATGTAATATAGGGGCAGAAGTCATGGCACAGCAGGTTAAGCCACCATCTGCAGTGCCAGCATCCCACATTGGCACTGGTTTGAGTTCCAGCTGCTCCACTTCCAATCCAGCTCCCTGCTCATGTGCCTAGGAAAGCAGTGGAAGATGGTCCAAATCCCTAGGCCCCTACCACCCACATGGGAGACCTGGAAGAAGCTCCTGGCTCCTAGCTTCTGCCTGGCCCAGCCCCAGTTGTTGCAGCCATTTGGGGAGTGAACCTGCAGATAGAAGATTCCTCTCTCTGTGTCTCTCCTCTCTCTCTGACTTTCAAACAAATGAGTAAATCTTTAAAAAAGGAGAGGAGAGGAGGGGAGGGGAGGGGAGGGGAGAGAGGAGAGGGGAGAGGAGAGAGGAGAGGAGAGGGGGAGATGTAAACAGGACTTTAATTATATAAGACATCAACTAAAAACTGTTTATAAAGTTTACTAACAAAATGATCCTCTAGAATCCAAGGAACCTTTTCCAACATAATACTATATATGGTGGTTATAGAGTTAAGAATAGACCAGAAAACTCTTTAGCTTAATTAAAATACTACTTAATAGACACCCAAACTGAGGAAAGTGAAACACACTGGAAGTGATGAACTATATCTCATGCCTATCTAATCTGTTCCAGTTCTAGACTCTGAGGCAAATGAACAAGTTAATCTTTCCCACTGACACCTAGTCTTCCATCGGAAGTAGCTGGAAAAGATAACGTATTTCCAGACCTCCTTCCACACCTGCTATGGAGATTCAACCACACTAGGAAGAGACTCTTACAGAGAGGATACCGTAAGTCAGAAATGTTCACACACCAGTTGGTACCATGTATGTCTGTGTGCAGTCTGTGAAGCTTCATGTTGACCTAACAATTTTTCCAACATGTTTCCTAATTTTTTAATAGCTCTATTAATGAATAGTTTTAATAGTGAAAAAGCGAAATAGTCATTTTCTCTACTAATTCCTTTGTTCTGATAGCATTTACAGATACTATAATACTGAATAGCAATTTAATCATAATTACTGCTACTCAGTAAAAGACTTTAAGATGATTCTGCCATCAAATACAGGCAACAAATTTAAAAAATTAAAACTCAAACATACCTTTTTGTAAAACTTGGCACAACTGAACCATCTATTTTCTCATTACAATCTGGGCTATTCAGAAGGTTAACTGGGACTCTTCCAAATGGGCATGACTGAAAATGTTTTGAAAGATTAAGTATATAGACAAAAATTTCACTTTCACTGCTTTAATTAAAGCAAATTAACAATAACTCACCCGTTTAGTTTTGGTAGCTTGTTTCAAGGGATTTCGATGGCTTATTTCTGCATCTTGTGGGGGCAAATTCTCTCTAAACAGAAAGAAAATAGTTTCAAGAGTATGAATGTATATTTCCACTTTAATGCTAAGCATTCCTATTATACTTACATGAAAAAGAAATGTGGACATATTGGTACAGATGAACATTTAAAAAACTAATTCTGCTTCCTTACCCATACAAAACCCTGGCTTTAGCAGCCTGTCCTCTGGTGTCACAATTGGTGTTCCTATTCTGTAAATGTCCCTGTGAGCTGGGCAATGATTCTTGGGCAGATAATACTGTAGGTGCTGCAAAAATTTTGAAACTACAATTAAATTTTAAGGACAGAAAATACACAAAAAAGTAATCTTTTAAATAAAAACATTCAAAAATCAATTTATAATAAATATTTGCCCCTAAGTAATATACCAACATGAAGATGTTATTGGGATAATTTTCTACTTCAAATTCCTTCTATTTATATAACTGCTTTCTCCAGGTAAAAGTACAGTCTCTACTTCTAAAAGCAAAACACCATTCTCTTCCTTAGATCAAAGTTTTTTACTGTTAGCAATGAGTTTGGTTAATGAAAAAAGACTTTAAGAGAGTAGTAAAACCTTCTCACTTCTAAATATCTCCCATCATTACAACTATTAATTTATTCTTGAGATTTTAACCAAGCTACATAAATGATATTTTTCTACAAAATACTATTCTTAATTTTTATTTGTAATACACCTACTACAGAAAAGTATATCAGCACACATTAATAGTTACCTGATAAACTTTTCTTTTCTTCCTCTGAAAGCAGCTGCTTTTTCTGAAGGTTTAAATTTTGGATGGCAATTTCCAGCATTTCTAATGGTACTGCTCCACTTTCTACAGCTTTATGAAGAAGCTGTCTACTTTTTTTGAAATTACCTAACAATGTAAAAAATAACTGTTATTTTATGGAGTAACCTTCATCCCCCCTAGATACTTAGTCATCAAGACCTAGACAAATTTTTAAAGACATAAGTAAAAATATTTCTTCTAACTCTCATGCATTTTATTTCACAGCAATTCTCTCTTACATATATAATCAACTCTTCTGATATCCATTAATGTCAAAATAGTTTGGTTGTATAATATGCAACCATTGTAGCTGTGTATTAGTTTACCACCATAATCCATTTTCAGAAGTAACAGAAGCATAATAAAGTGGTTACCAGGAGGAGAAGCCAAAGCTAACTGCAACAGTCAGAAACACAAAGGAATTCTAGAAGTTAATACAGTCCCAAGAACAGCAATCATATGACATTTTAATCTAAGCATCATTCATAAATGACATTCAGTCATCAAGTAAAGGCTGACACATTTTGCTAAAGGGAATCTTGTATCAAAAGGATTCCTATAAGTAAAAGTAATGGTAAAGATTAATCCATACTGTCCGACTTAGCTACACTACACTCAAAATGCAAAATAACTGAGAGACTATCAAAATCACTTTTCTGACTGCAAACAGGCTGCTAAACAAATTTTCTTTAAACTGTAAACTTACACAAATTATTTATAAAAATTAAATGTATACATCATGAACCTATAGATTATGTTATCAACATTTATTAGAGCCATTGAACCATGCTCTTCAAATGGCATTCAGATGCTTAAAGATGATCAAGACAACTTACGCTTTCTGTTAGCAACTCTTCTAAAATTCTGAATATATTTGATAGTGATTAAGCCCACATTTATGGAAGTAGTAAAATTTCACATATTGAATATTTTAGAACAAAAGAAAGAAAGGCTTATTAGATAAGAACTAGTAATTAGATAGCATATGAATTAAGATCATAGATCCCTTTTAAAATTTGATTAAAAATTATGGAGTGTCCTCCACACCCACAGAAATACGTACACCATGCTGTGCATAAGATTTCAAGGATATTATTATTTCCAAATAGCCTTTCCATCAACCCTGCTCTAAACAGTCACAATTTTGTGCTAGAGACTGCAACACTGCTGTAGTACAAAGTTTACTTTTCACAGACCACTCAATATATTTATGTGTCTACAGACTTAAAAATTCATAGCTGGTATTGAGGGGCCATGATAGAGGACCTGAATACAAGGAGGCTGAGTGTTTGGCAAGGTAGCTAAAACGCCACTTGGATTGCCCACATCTCACTTCAGAGCGCCTAGGTTTGATCCCAGCTATATTCCTGATTCCAGCTTCCTGCTCATATGCACCCTGGGAGGCAGCAGACAATTCAGGTAATTGGGTCCCTGTCATGTCACCCACGTGAAAGTCCCAGATCAAGTTCTTGATTCCTGGCTTCAGCTTCTACTACCCTTGGCTGCAGCAGGCATCTAGGGAGTGAACCAGCAGATGGGAGATCTTTCTGTGTCTACTTGTCTCTCACTTTCTCACTCACTCTCTGCCATTAAAAAACATTTTTTAATGAAAATATAATCTTAAAGGCCTGGCCACATTTACTCTTACAAGCAAAAAGGAAAAGTCAATTTTTGTAGGTAGCAAAGGAAAGCTTTGTTTCAAAATAACCTGATAAAGTATAAGACAGCCTGGAAAAGATTATTCCAATTACTAAGATTCAGAAATCTTCTGAAAAGGTAATAACCTGTGAGTTGTTAAAATCCTTTTCTCCAACCACAGTCCTGGGAAATACTCTCCAGTGACTAAGCCCTGCTTTGGGCACCATCATAGGGATAGCAGTAATATTTATCACTGGTAGTAAATGGGATCAGAGAACAGCAGAAAGAAGGCAGAAGGAAAATAGCAACACTAGGCCAGAAGTGAACTGAGGATACATACTAGGGCCACAGAAAATGAGGAAAAGAGAGGACTAATAGCCTGGCTAGAAAGGTCTGAAGATGTGACTGTTCTGGGGGTAGGTATTTGGCCTAGCAGTTATGTAAGCCCTATCCCTATCAGAGAATCTGTGTTCAATATCCAGCTCTGACTTCTAATTCAATCCTGTTCTAATTCAATCTCCCATTAATGCAGACCCAGGGAGGCAGCAGTGATAGCTCAAGTAATGGTTCTGGCCACCCATGTGGGAGCCCTGGACTGAGCTCCTGTCTATGAAACTGTAGCATAAGAAAAGCTTATTCAAGTTTCAATATAAATATATATCTCTTTCATCCTATAAAAACTCAGAAAAGAAGCCTTTTTCATTTGTAATTTCCCAAAACTAATTTACAGTGTAAATGCAGTGTCTATTTCCCTGGATTAGTCCTTAAAAGCAGAAAAGTTTAACAAACATTTATGCTTAGGCGGCATTCTCCTACCCCATACTCTTATCTGAGCAACTTCAATACTTTTTGCCTTAAATTTTCACTTCATATATATTATTTAATGTTAGTGACACAATAGAAAGCAATCTTTTATTTAAAATTTAGATTTGACATTTTCACATTACCTTGTGACAATTCAAACTGTGCAAAAGATACATGTACAAAAGCGAATTTCTTGCAGTTTGCTCTGGCCATTTGAAAGTAGTCGCGGGCATCATCTGGCTCTTGAATACTGTGAGAGAAGAGTCAGAATTACATTTTGAGGAAAAGAGCACAGCTACCTAAATTTGGTAACTCTTCATTCTATTTTCCTAAACACCCAGGATATTGCTTTTCTCTGTGTGTAAAATTACTTACAGATTGTTCTAAGAAATCTTTTTTGGCAGGGTGAAAAAAGTCTACTTTGTAGAAACACATACATCATAAAGACAGCTTACATTATTAGTACCTTGTTAATTATAATCAAAAGCATTTGGTCAAAAGATACAAATTTCCACAAGTAATCCAGAAATGTTTTCCTTATCTTTCTTTGCAATGTTGTTGGTTAATAATACTTACGCTTTTAATTCAGCAAATCTCACTTGAATTCGAGCAAAACTCTCATTTTGGCCATATTTATCTGGAGGAAGTGCTTCAATTGCTTGACTATAACGACCAATCAATTTATTTAAAAGAGCATCATTTAGGGGGACACTATTTTTCTCTAGTTTGAGCAAGAAATTCAACCAGTCCTCTGGATTATTTGCCATCAACATAATTTGGTTAACAGTTCCTGAGTTATCTGAATAAAGGAAACAAAATATATCACAACAGAAGAAAAACATAAAACAAGTACTAAATTGCATTTTTTCTTCAAATTATAGTTAAACATGTATACTGTCAGTGTCAATATATGAGTACATAAATCTTTTCTGCTACTTTTAAAATCTTAAGCAATTCATATAAATATAAGCAGCTTATTAACTATATATCTTTTATGAAAATGTATTGTACTCAAAAAACTATTTTGAAGGAAAGTAAAAAAATGTGAAAAATAAGTGGGTTTTTTAAGTAGCCCTTAAAAACTATATGTAGTATAAGAAAATTCTGTTATAGCAGCATAATTATAATTTTAGCATCCTAAATATCCTAAAAACCTAAGTCTCTCACAAAACCACCTGAACCAACTTTCTTGGAAAATTCATTAAGAATTAAGAAACTTATTACCCCAGTTCTAATATAACCTTCTTTATAATTGCACCCTTTCAACATTACCTCCTTATCCCTCACAAAACCAGGTTTATAAAAGAAAAGCAATCGAGGGGCTGGCACTGCCATGCCTTATCAAGTTTTGAGTCCCGCCTGCTCCGTTTCTGATGCAGCTCCCTGTTAATGTGCCTGGGAAAGCAGCAGAAGATGGCTCAAGTACTTGGGCCCCTTCCACCCACATGAGAGACCTGGATCGAGTTCCTGGCTCCTGACTTCAACCTGGCCCAATTCAGGTCATTGTGACTATTTGGGGAGTGAACCAGCAGGTAGAAAACCTCTTTCTCTTCCTGTCTGCTATTCTGCCATTCAAATAAATAAAATATATACTTAAAAAAAGAAAAACCATAAGCAACCAATATGCTCATTTTCTTCTCTAACTTATCCACATAGACACACGCTAATTTCTTGATTCTACAAACCCATACCTGTGCTGATCTAGGCCTTCTGAATGTATAGGATTTCTTATACAGGTCAGTTTTTTCTCTGTGAAACCCTAGCCTACAGAAATAGCAAGAATAATCTTCAAATATGATTTGCACAGTCATGTACTTCTTATTTTTTTTCAGTGTTAGTTGTTTTAAAAATGTAAGACTCCTACTCAGGATATTTTCACCATTACTCAGCATTATTAAAATCAGATCTCCCAGAGAAACTATTATTCCTTCTTATCAACTTCAATTACCTTCAATAAAGCCTAAATCTTTACTTTTGCAAAACAAAAAACCAAAAACCTATTTTTGCTTTCTACCAAAACAGTAAGTTCCCAACTGTGTTTATTCACTTCAAATTTAATGTGGTCTAATTTCATCTTAATGTTCCAGTTTCATCATCTACTGCTTTCCTCACAAATTTAGTCTGTGAAATGTCTATAAAATACATTTGCCCTGTTTGGCTTTGCAGATGTATTCTTTATGCCTCTGAATAATTCATTATTCTGTTTAACACATGCAGCATTTGTGTTAAACATAACAAAGATCATATTAGTATTCATATGATGCACTCATATGTAACACAATCAATTCTCATCAAGAAAGAAACTGATTTTAAGCAGTTTTGAGCCTTCCTCAATATTTAACATACATCTTCCTCAAAACTATCAATATAATGCTAAGTGTCCACAAGTTTCTTGTAAAGATTTATTTATTTATTTATTTATTTATTTATTTGAAAGAGTGACAGAGAAAGACAGAGATCTTCCTTCTGCTGGTTTACTCATCATATGGCCTCAGCAGCCAGGGCCGGGCCAGGCTGAAGCCAGGAGCCAGAAACTCCATCCAGGTCTCCCACATGGGTGGCAGGGACTGAAGTACTTGAGTCATAATCTGCTGCTTCCCAGGAGTGAGTATTAGTAGAGCAGCCAGGACTCAATCCCACACTCCAGTATGGGATACAGGTGTCCCAAGCAGTGGCTTAACTCGGTCTGCGTCATAATGCTCCCTGGCTTCGTGTTTAGTTTTGAGTGAGCTAATGATAAACCTTTTTTTTTTTTTTTTAATGTTTATTTATTTGAGAGGCAGAGTTACAGACAGAGAGAGGGAGAGACAGAGATAAAGGTCTTCCAACTGCTGGTTCACCCCTCAAATGGTGGCAACAGCTGGAGCTGGGCTGATCCAAGGCCCGGAGCTGCTTCTGGGTCTCTCTTGTGGATGCAGGGGCCCAAGCACTTGGGCCATCTTCTGCTGCCTTTGCAGGCATGTTAGTAGGGCGCTGGATCAGAAGTGGAGCACCTGAGACTCAACCCAATGCCCATGTGGGATGCTGGCGATGCAGGCAGAGGCTTAATCTACTATACCACAGCACTGGCCCCTAATGATAAATCTTTAAGCAAGTACTTAAATACCTTGGTGCACAACTTTGTTAGTGCAACACATAATAAAGTACGGTGATATTCTGTTAAGACTTTGCTTGACATAAAATTCTAATTTTCTAGGTTATCCCAAAGTGAACCTAGTCTACCACTATGACTAAATCATAGTCATAGTTTCTTCCATTTATTTTTAATCCCTTGGCCATTCAAATGTTAGTATAGACAAAGGCCACGATTCAAATGACCACATCAAATTGAAATATTAAGAATCAGACTTCAGAGCTACTACTTTTCACATATCGATGGCATTAAATTTGGAGCACTTTCTTTCATTTATCACTCAACATTTAAGTGTCTACTACATGCCAGGCACTGTTCTAATTTTTGTGAATATAACAAAAGAGATTAGAAACCCTGATCTCATGGAGCTCACACTCTAACAGAGGAGAAAGACAATGAACACCTGAGCATACAGTATATCAAGTGTTTAGTAGCACAGAGAAAAAGAGAACTGGGAAGCAAGACAGGGGACACACCCACCTCAGCAGGTTGATGGGACTAACAGGTTCTCCAAATCAAAAACTGAGTGCTTAATGTTAACTTTATTTATAAATTTAACATCAAAGAAAAGGAAATGCAAAGATGGTATATCTTAATGGCAGGCCTATCAGCAGAAGTACCTGACAATATTGGAAGAGATAAGAGAAGTACCTCAAGCACACTCTAATAAATGATCTTAGGCATCTATTTTATAGAAAGCAGAAAACTGTGGAATACTCCCACACAAAATGGTTAAAATAAAGTGTTCTCTGATGCGAGCATCACTTACTGAGAAAACTGCTTTACCTTAACACTCAGTGGTTTAAATACTTCATTCCTTTACCTTAGAGAACACTCAATAAATAGTTATGACTTTTTGAAAGAAAAAAAAACCTCACCTGTAGTATCAGCAGAGATTTTATTCAAGCTTAGCTCATCCGTTAAGTCTTCATTTTTAAATTTATTTTTTATATCTCTTACTTTGGTCATTATGGAATCAATTGTCAATTCTTTGCCACTTAACTCCTCAGCCTCCATTTCTAAGGAAAAAAAAAAAAACAATTAATAGCTTCTAGATTTACTAGCAGCAAAGGAAGAAAAAAAGAATCAACTCCCAATTAGCCCTTTAGAACCCAAAAGAGGACATAAAGCATTAGTTTTATGAACAGACCTAAGTGCAGATATTATTAGGGTAGTATTAGTGCAGCTATGTGCACAAAAACAATGGACACATCTTTGTAATTTGCCAAGGTTTCAAGAGGGTTCAATCATTTCTTCCCAATACAACCTCAATGCAGGTACACGCTGGAAGTCACTGCACAACACAAAAATTACATTCCCGCCGGCGCCACGGCTCACTAGGCTAATCCTCCACCTTGCGGCGCCGGCACACCGGGTTCTAGTCCCGGTCCGGGCGCCGGATTCTGTCCCGGTTGCCCCTCTTCCAGGCCAGCTCTCTGCTGTGGCCCGGGAGTGCAGTGGAGGATGGCCCAAGTGCTTGGGCCCTGCACCCCATGGGAGACCAGGATAAGTACCTGGCTCCTGCCATTGGATCAGTGCGGTGCGCAGCCGCGGCGGTCATTGTAAGGTGAACCAACGGCAAAAGGAAGACTTTTCTCTCTGTCTCTCTCTCTCTCACTGTCCACTCTGTCAAAAAATAAAATAAAATAAAAACATTCCCTTTGAAAATTTTCTTCTATGCACTTGAATGCCTTGCTTTAGTATAAGCAGAGACTTCATTCAAGCTGAGTTCAAGAGTAAGGTCTTCGCAATTAAATTTATTTTTTATATCCCTCACTTTCTCCATTATGGAATCAACTGTCACTCTTTTTCTTTTACAAAATTATTTTCTCTGGGTCATCTGAAAATTTAAGTCATTTTTTTAAAAAATTGATGCTGTGCTTGGCTTCTCGCAGTGGCCGAGAAACATAAAGAATCCTTTTGGTAATGAGAATTACCACTCCTTTATTCACCTGCTTTCCTTGAGTAAATCCTCACTTTTTTTTCAAAGTAGAATATGGACAACATCACAGGCTTTTATCGGTACTTGGGATTCAGCAGGTTTGTTCTTGCACGCAGGGAATCGTGATTCACTACCCAGTCGTTTTAATAACAATGTACTGTTTCCTACAGTGCTAAGGATTTTCTAAACTCCATGTTGGTATGTGGGCAACAAAGTGCAGTCTTCCTGTCCGTCGCTTTTGTGATTTTTCAAACATAAACCTGGTAACCAGGGTCACCGCTGTCAGCACGCCTCGTTCTCGAGTTTAACCACGAAAAGGGACGAGAAAGTGGGCAGCAAGATCTCACTCCGCCTCTGAAATCCCGAGTGGACGGTAACTGTCAGAACACACCCCCACTTGCTGACAATTCTAACCCACCAAGTACGAGAGGGGCGGACTTTGAGGATCCCACCTCGTACGCGGCTGCTCCATTGTGCCCTCTTTTCGGAGGTCCACACCCACTTCTTACTTCCTCAATAACATCTTCCACATCACCCCCACCCAGACCTACGCTGGCGACGAGACTTCCCCTCCCCCTCCAGCTGGTTCAGCCGCGCCCTTCGTCATCCACCCAGTTCCGAGACGCACCTGCCTCGCCCCGACACCTCACCGACCAGAGATGCTAAGAGTCCACACACCGGCTACCGCCGTTCCTAGGTGCGGCCGCGAGGCAGAACTCACTCCCAGAAGGGCGCTGCAAAGAAAAGATGGAACCCAAATCTCTCTGCGCAAACACGTTTGAATTTCCGCGCCGTCGTCGCCGCGTCCTCCTATTGGCCAACGCGAGTCACGTGGCGGCTTCCGTTGTGATTGGTTTCCGTGCTTCGGCACCGCCTCTTCCCTTGCGCTGCGTCCGGCTGCGAGCTCCGTGGATTCCGGGTCTTGTGCGCCTGCGCCACCTACGCGGGGCCTGAGCCCAGCCGGGGCGAGTAGGGGGTTGTTGTAACTGTGTTTGGCAGGCGTTCCCCGGGCGCCATTCAGCCGGTTTTGTGCACCTTACGGTTTTACCAGGCTGAATTTTTTTGCGGAGCGCGAGGGAGATAGCTACTCCGGGGCGGAGTTACCCGGTGAGAGGAAATAAAGGGGCGGGGACGGCTACTCCCAGCCTCAGGACCCGAAGCGTGCGCCGCGGTCGGCCTTTCACCCTAAATGCTACCCCCAGCCCTTTGTCTCCCGAGCTCCTCATTGCCGAGCTTAGGGAGAGTATGGAAATCTGTCCACGGCGCTGCGTTCGGGCCTGCAGCTAGCTCCAGAATCCCGGTGCTGCTTGCCTTTGAGCTTCGTTTACTACTCGACCCTTCAGCAACTCCCTGCTAGTCTTCAAGCCAAGACCCCTCCTTCCCGTTGTCCAAATTCTGAACAGAACTCGCACGCCGGTCGCGATTGCCCTGCCTGTACTCGCCTTATGAGCGCCCATCTCCTCCGAATCTGCCCCTGGGTCCTCCGGGTAAAAACGCCTACCCAGTAATCTTCACTGGGGCAGGGTCCTGCTAAGTGGCGTTGTGGTCCAGGGCAACACTTTCACCAGTGGAAGCAGGGGAGATGGTTCTGTTGTGCTCGCGTTAGGGTTCCTGCTCTAGGGTAACACAGGTTGGTTGTCTTTGTGCTGTGTAGGAAACAACTGCTGTTATCATTGAAGTTGCACAACCGTTCTTAGAACACGCTCGTTCCCAGCCTGGCTAGCCACTCCGCCAGCGTGACCGCCCTTCATCGTAAATGCGTTTTCCGTATCTGCTAGCTATGTACTTTTGGGTCAGTGGAGAAAATGATTTGCAGTACCCTAGTTCACTGATCACCTTTGCACTGTTTGGGTCTAATGCTGCTTTATGCCGGAAAGTAGTTTACTATTCTACCAATTCTTGTTGATGTCTTTGGCGGTTAATCTCAGAGCTTGTTTTCCTGAAAATGCTGCTGCTGAGTAATTTCGCTCTTAACATTTATTCCCTTAGACTCACTGTTTCCATGATCTCAGGGTTTTTTCGTTGTTGTTTTTGTTTGAAGATTAAGCAACATAAACAATGTATTTCAAAGAGTTACAGACAGAAAGGGAGAGACAGACAGAAAAATCTTCCATCTTCTGGTTCACTCCCCAAGTGGCCTCAACCCTCAAGACTGGGCCAAGCCGCAGCCAAGAGTTTCATACGGGTCTCCCACGTAGATGCAGGGGCCCAAGCACCTGGGCGGTTTTCTGCTGCTTTTCCCAGGCCATTAGCAGGCATAGGATGCCAGCATTGCAGGCCCCTGATGATCTCAGCTTTACATATTTAAATACCGTCTATGTGTGGTGACTCCCAAATGTGTATCACCAGCTGAGCTCCTTCCTGAACTTCATACTGAAATAGCCATTGCTTACCTAACATCTCTACCTAAATGCTTCAAAGGCATCTTAAAATAACCAAAATTGATGAGGCCCCACGTTGTGGCATAGCAGGTGGCACCAACATCCCATATCATGCCAATCATGGACCAGCTACTCCACTTCCCAATCAGCTCCCTGCTAATGGTCTGGGAAAAGCAGCAGAAAATTGTCCAAGTGTTTGGGCCCCCACGACCTATGTAAGAGACTTGGATGGTGCTTCTGGCTCTTGGCTTTGACGTGACACAGTCCTGGCTGTTGAAGCCATCTGGGGAGTCAACCAGCAGATGGAGATAACTGTCTCTTTGTCTAGCTCTTCCTCTCTCTAACTCTTTCAAAATAAATAAGTTTATCTAAAAAAAAAAAATAACCAAAACAAAACAAAATAACTGAAATGCTCATTGTCTCCAGTTTTAAGGCCCCAAACCATAAGTCACCCCTGACCCCACATTCAGTCCATGAGCAGATTGAAAGCTCTGTCACAGGAAGCTCCTGCAGTCCCACTTCTGTTCACTTCCTGTTACCACCTTATTCCAAGCAACCTGCACATCTCGCCTGGATTACTCCAGCAGCCTCCGGGCTGGTCTCCCTGCTTCTGCCCAACTCATCTCAATTTATTCTCCAGCACAGCAGAGTAATATTAAATCAGATCATGTCGCTCCTTTACTGAAAACATTTCAGTGATTCCTTTCCAGCTTAGACTAAAAACCCAAGGTCCTTACCGTGGTCTAGAGCTATGCTGTTCAATATGATAGATGTTAGCAACACACAGCGATTAAATACTTGAATATATCTAATGTAAACAAGGAATTGACTTTTTAAATTAATTATAACCTTAAAAAGTGATATTTAGTATACTTATTGAAAGACATATTCTTTGAACAATTTATATGAATCTGTTTTCATCTGTAAATTTTGTAATATCTACATACAGATCAAGTACTTCCAATGAAAATGTCTATTTAGATGTCTATAGTATTTTATACTTATATAGACATATAAGTATAGATTGATCTTAGACATATAAGTATAGATTGATCTATACTATATACTATACTATATATATAGTATATATACTATATATACTATCCATAGATCAATCTATACTTATGTCTATATTACATATATATGTATTTATATAAATATATATATTTTATATAGTATTTTATGTTTGTGCCTGCCTTCTCCAGGGGCGGGGCGGTGTCTGGCTCTGCTGAAAGCTGCTAAAGGATGACAGGGCAGACCGGCAAGGGGCGGGGCTGAGGCCAGGGAAACCCCATAGTCCGTACTCACTTGCCCTTGGGAAGCAGTTCCCTGGCAGGGGGCAAGTTGCATCTCAGGAAGGTGGCACTTGGGTGCCCGTGTGGTTAAGGTGTGGCCCGGAAGCATTTTCCGGCGCTGTCTGCCCAGAGCCCTCGCGCAGGGCTCCGACGGCTCGCAGCAGCAGGTAAAACTCAGCATCTGAGCTGAGCGAGCCGGGTTGTAGCTTCTCTTCACGCTCTGTGTGGTCTGGTTACATGACAGGTGCCAAGAGGTTACGATACGGGTTGCTTGGGTCTGATGTACAGTGTGAATAAATGCTTGCAGCTCTTAGCCCTTTTTTGATCAATGAAGCACTTTTTTATTAATATTTTTCTTTGTATGTAACGGAGGAACTGTAAATCTCCATAGCTGTACAAATAACCCTTTTTCTCCTAAAGAGGAGTCAGTCAGTGCTCCTATATTTTTCGTTTTTTTTGTCAAAACGAGAAGTAAATACTTTAGAATTGTTAAATATATAAATAAAGTGAATAAAGTTGAGTGTTTGGCATGGTTAAAAAAATAAAATACTTATATAGACATATAAGTATATAAAATTACTATATATATAGTATATATACTATATACTATCTATGGATCAATCTATACTTATATGTCTATATAAGTATAAAATACCCCCTGAATTTTGAAAACTTAGTGTGAAAAAATAATTTAACATATTATTGATAATGTCTCAAATATTATTTACAAGTTGAAGTGATATTTTTGTTATATTGAGTTGAATATATTATTAAAATTAATGTCACCCTATCACAGACCAGAAGACAGCAAGCACACAAGATGGCTAAATGCACTTTGATATCATGGACTGAATCCTGGAACAGAAGGAGAACATGAAGGAAAAAAACTGCTGAAATCCGTATAAAGTCTTGGATTCAGTTAATGGTAATGTACCTGTGTTAGTTTCTTAGTCTTGAAAGTATACCATGGTAGTATAAGTTCTTCACACTAGGAAAATTGAGAATTCTACAACAACTCTATGTACTACATTTACAATTTTTATAAATAATATATTCCAAATTTTTTTTAAAAATGAAAATTTGGGGGCTGGTATTGTGGCATAACACGTTAAGCCTCCAGTTACAATGGTGGCATCCTGTATGCTCACTGGTTCAAGACCTGGCTGCTCCGCTTTCAATCCAGCTCCCTGCTAATGCACCTGGGAAAGCAGCCAAAGACAGCCCAAGTACCGGGGCCCCTGCACCCACGTGGGAGACAAAAACTCAGGGTTCCTAGCTAAGGACTGGCCCAGCCCCAGTCATTACGGCCTTCTGGGGAGTAAACCAGTGGATGAAACATCTCTCTCCTTCTCTCTGTCTCTTCTCCTGTCTTTGTAACTCTGCCTTTCAAATAGAAAAAAATCTTTAAACAACATGAAAATTTGATTTCACTTATGTTAATAGAAATTGAAAATTATCAAGTTAGCAATAGTAATCTAGACAAAACTAAAACTTTATATATCTGGCCTATTTGTTTTTGCTTGTTTTTTTTTTTCTCCTGACTCTATGCCTTATCCTACTATAATGCAAACTTGTAAGAACTGAAACTTTCGTTTGTTTTGTTCATTACTATATGCTTAGTCCTTAAAGCAGTGCCTGGTACACTGTAGGCACATGATAAATGTTAGCTAAATACTGATGCTTAGAACCATTACAATATTTGAAAAT